GATGCCTGGGATTCCTCCGGCCCAAGTGCAAAACCCTGCACTTTGTCCTGTTGAACCTCATCAGGTTCACCTGGGCCCACCTTTCTAGCCTCTCGTGGTCCCTCTGAATGGCATCCCTATATACAAAGACATATAAATGTGCAATAAGGATAGAAAGTAGGAGGAAACTGCATATTGTGATGCTGAGTCAGTTAAAGGCTTATTACTAAAGAAACACACAGTACTTCTTCGGTCTTTACTGTATCATAGAGGTGGGATTATACTTGGGAGGTGGGGGAAGGGCAGGTAGCAACAGGACAAGGGGAAATGGCTTTAAACTAGAAAAGGATAGATTCAGACTAGATATTAGGAAGAAATTATTTACTGTGAGGGTGGTGAGACACTGGAACAGGTTGTGCAGTGAGGTGGTCGTTGTCCCCTCCTTGGAAGCATTCAAGGCCAGGCTGGATGGGGCTGTGGGCAACCTGGTCTACAGGGAGGTGTTCCTGCCTATAGCAGGGGATTGGAACTACATGATCTTGAAGGTCTGTTCCAACCCAAACTGTTCTATGACTTTATGATTCTGTGATCAACAAGTTTAATCTTTTCCAGCTACATCATTGCTAGGATGTACTTTATTCCAAATGTAATTAAGCACTTTACTGCATATACGAATATGCAGTTAGTTTACCATTTTGGCCATGGATTTTCTATGTCATCTTAAGCTCTTCGTAGCAGTTTTCATAACTTGTATTTTGTACCTACTGTTCCTTACCGTTTTGTTGTTGTTGTTGTTGTTTGGTTGCTTTTGCTTGTTGTTTTTCTTACTGATTTCTTAGATGTTGCTTTTTAGTTCTGGATACCAACTTGATTCCATTGCTCAAATAGAATGGACTTCTCTTCTTACTGCTTTGACGATCTCAGCTTTTGACTGTCTACTGTACTTTCTCTGAAAAGTCATGAATTTCTTTATTTTTTAAATTGTAGTGTGCATTACAGAGTTGTGCAAGGTTGTTCAGTTGTTCCCCATTGACTTCTTTTTCAGGGCAACATTTTTGACTGAACTCTCTTGTTCCCCATTGCCTTCTTTTTCAGGGCAACATTCAACAGGAGATAAGCTTAGTAAAATACGGTTTAGTTTAAACCAGATGTTTTGTTAATGTTTTCCAGGGAATCCTCTTATGACAAAATATATATTTCACATTTTCCTAAATCTGTTTCAACATGTCTAAAACATCTTTATTTCCAGGACGATCTTAAAGCAACTTTAACAGCAAAGAATCGAGAAGCCAAGCAATTATCTCAGCTGGAAAAGACACGTCAGCGGAATCCATCAGATCGACACATTATTGTATCCTGTATTTCTAATGACTATAAGATTTTATTTTTTAATTTTCCAGTAATTAAAATATTTAGAAAGTATTTAGAAAGTAATAGAATGCTTTTTAGAGGGACTATTTGGGATACTGATTTTTAGAGGGCTTATGTTGATTTTGAATCTAAGTAACTTTTCTTATACTTGGTAATAGTAAGTTATAGCATATAATAGCTGCTTTGTTATCAGATCTCTTTTTGATTAAAAAAAAATAACTGAGGCAGATGATGCATTTATGCAGGAGAGATAAGCATAGATTACATCTGAAATACTGATGGGCTTTGAAAATAAGTAGATACCTTTTTTACGTCTGTGCAGTTTTTGCTTTCTTTTCTTTCCCGTAATTTCCCATAGTTCTGCTTCCTTGCAGCTAGGCAGGATATTAATGTTCTCTAGCTATGAGATGATGTGTGATCAGAAAAGTTGCAATTCTGCTAATTGTCCTCAAGTCAGACCACTCTTCCTCTCAAGAAACCAATGACCCTTCTCAGTATATTCCAAGGAAAAATTGAGCCTCTAACTAAATTTCTATTAAAATTTTATAGTAGTTTCAAATTCTGAAACAATGAAAATCTAGAAAATGACAGAATAAAGGTCTTAAAGGCGTTCCTAGTTTGGTTTCTATGCAACTCTGTGTTATGATACAGCATTTAAGTTCATTTCCATGTCCTGTTTTTCTTGCACACTGGAGTTGGACTCAGGGCTGCGCAGTAGAACAGTGGTATCCTTTGTAGGATTTCATCTACTTATTTCAGAAATTAGGATCTTTGTAGCAGAAGGTACTGCAGGAGAAAAATGATTGTGATGGTCAAATGCCACCCAGGACAACCACATTCTGTTTTTCTCTGTGCCAAAGAATTTCTGTTTATTTCTAATGAAATCAACTAAATTAAGTGATGACTAATCAGAGTTCCTTGTGTGACACGTGGGTATCAGCAGTAGGACTGGAACTTGAGCTGTGATGTAGAGTTCTCTTCCAGTAAGATAAGATAGTAAACATTAACAGTAAAACATTATCCCTGCAGGGAAGCTGTTGCTTTTTTTTTGTCTCTTGTTCTAATTCCTATTTAATTCCATATATAGATTGCTGGCAACTAACTTGTTTCTTGTCTCTTTGCACTTCCAAATGCCCTTGTGTGGCCTAGCTTCTTGTAACACCTGTGTTTTTGTACTTAAGATTTTGCCTGAAAGCTTAAGTCTATTTTCATATATGCCCAAAGGCGTATGCATACCAAACACTATGCATTTGCATTTAAAGTGATCAGCACAAAATTTCTAAGAACTACTGGAAGTAGGAAAACATTGTTCAACTTGGTAAGGCTTCTGTGTGCCAGGAAGAGACTCGCCACTGTAAACTCTTTTTGCCTTGAGACAGGGAAGAACACTGCAGTTGAGTAAGTTTTGTGGCAGTCCTATGACAAATTCTGCTGAGAGGTGGGTACAGTGCATTCAAATGAGTGCAGACTGAAAAGAGCTTGTTTCCTTTTGCATGTCATGTCTTGTTTCAGTCTTTTCTACTGATGCCCAGTCTCTGTTGTCTAGTGTCTCTTTTATGGTGCTTCAGTCAGCTTATCTGCTACACTGCCCAGGACCCAGCTAACAGTATTCAGAGCACTTGTTAGGATAGCTTAGCTCCAATCCCTCACCCTCTTGCCAAAGAAAGAACATCTGTTTCATTTCAATTGGGCTGGAATATGTTCAGTTACTTTTGAGGATGCATGCAGGCCAGCTTTTAGATTTGTGAGGTTTCACCATGTTCACTGATGATAGCACAGCTGTTAGACTCCAGCAGTGGTTCTGTTCTTCATGCACAACTGTCATATTTCAGCAGCTAACAACTTTGGCCACGAATAGCAGAGGAATTGTACTTGTTCCAGATTTTAAGTCCATCTTAGAAACCATGGGACTAGCTCAGCTTAGCAAAGAAAACCTTGCCAAATTTCTTTCTATATAAAAATGCAACTTTAAAATCAAATCTGTTTTTCCTGAAATGGTCTACATAGGTTGTTTGAATTAATTTAAAAAACAAAAAGTAAATAACCTTCAGTCCAAAACAAACAGCTGTCCTGAAATACTTCAGCTTTGATGTCTGAATTCTGTAACAAATTGTAAGAAAGCTTTAACAAACTGTAAGTAATGTCTTGCAATAGGAAGCTTCAGACAATAACTTCTGCCAAGTAGAGAGAAGTTGTCAAATATCTGAGGTAAATGTTTCACAATATAAAACACGTGGAACTGCAAACAGCTACTTTTATGGCTATTGATTACTTTGGTATTTGTTTCCTTTACTATTACTTCCAGTCACAGGTGAGTGTTTCAGAAAAGAAAATATCCAACTGCTATTATGGAAACTATGCGGGTGCCTCAAGTTTGAACATTTCACTTTACAACAAAGGAAATACCTTTCCCAAAGCTTCTGCACGTATCTGGCCAGTCTATTTAAGATGACTCAAGAAGATACATTTGATCATCATAGATATTAACATAATGTATATTCATGTGTAATGGCTGCCTAGGCATAACAGCTGGCTTTCACAAAAGGTGGCACTGTAGTATCTGAGAAAGCACAAAATGTATTTCCTTGCTCAGTTTTTCTCCTGTGCTTTGGACAAAATCAAGAAAGGGAAATGAGCCTATGACCTAATGTCATACTACCCTGGGCTACATTAAAGGAAGTGTGGGGCCTGAAGATCATGGGAGGTGATTGCTCACATGGGACCTTACCTGGAGACCTTACAGTGATCTTACAGTACCTGAAGTGGGGCCTACAGGAAAGATGGGTAGGGAATCTTTGTCAGGGAGTATAGTGCTACAACAAGGGGTAGCACTTAAACCACAAGATTTAGATTAGACAGGAAGAAATTATTTACTCAGAGAGCGATGAGGCACTGGCACAGCTGCCCAGAGAAGCTGTGGATGCTGCATCCCTGAAGGCAGTCTAAGCCATTTTGGGTGGGGCCATGGGCAGCCTGGTCAGGTAGGGGGGCAGCTCTGACCTTGGTGGGGAGAGGTGTAACTGGATGGTTTTTAAAGTCCCTTTCAACTCAAACTATGTCACCACTAATTTTATATACCAAGTAATGTCAGAGTTATATCTGTGCAGACTTAAAACCATTTTGGTATGGAGACTGTCTGAAGTTGATAAGCTGGTACTGGTAGTATAAGGTTAGTAGATTTTAAAGAAGAGTGACAGAACATGCCTTATGTATATTTTCAATAGATAAGTAACAGTAAAAACTGGATCATAGAAATTGGGCTTGTGATGTCTATTTCCATGCCTTAGCATTCACATTTAAGGGAAAAAAAAGTTCCTAAAGTACAGTTTGGAGAGATGCAAAGAATTCTACATCTTGATAAGACACAACTGTTTGCTCCATATACCATTTCCAAATGCAAAGACAGAACAGATTGCTGATGATGCTCACTGACCTAGTCTTTAAGTAAGGATTTGACCAGTCTGTGATATTTGACCGGTAATTTATGAAAAATAATTTTCGACCCAAATGTTGCAGCTTAAGTGCAAGCTCCTAGAACTCCACATCTTTTTTATTGTAATAGTACACAGTTCACAGACTTTGGATTACTTAATCAGCTTCAATAATGTTAAAGTGGTACTGTGCATATTAAACAGTTCAGTTATATCTAATTAAAATACTACAAAAAGCATTTAGGATATGTAATAAGAAAAGCTGTTTATACATTAGGACTTGGTTTATGCAACCTTCTCGCCAGTGCCCTGTTCAAGGTATTTTTATAAATAATTACATCAAATGATTTTAATATAAAATATTATATGATAAAATGCTTTTGGATCTAAAAATGGTAACAGATGATGTCTGCTCATCCACCTCTCTGGCTCGTGCATTTCTACCTTCTCCATAATTAGCAGCTCTACAAGCAGATGAGTATTAAGGAAGAGGGCCAGGACAGTGAGACTTCCCTGACTGCCTGGAGTTACTTTTACTTTTCATGTTTTGGATCAAAATCCCAACAAGTATGAGAGATATCTTTATTGAAGCTACAAACCCAGTAATCCAGAAGTGTAGTATTTTGAAAACCAGTACTCAAAGATTTCATAGCAATTATAACAAATAAATTTGTATCAAATATAGGACTAATTTCACCTTTGTGTTACTTCACCAGGCTGAAAGTGAATTGCAAAGAGCTTCATTGGATGCAACACGAACAACCCGGCAGTTAGAGGAAACCATTGATAATTTTGAGAAGCAGAAAATAAAGGACATAAAAGTATGTGTGCTCCCATACCTGTAACACCACACTTTTCCTTGAATAACATTTACTACAGTTACTCTTCAGCAAGATTTACACCCACATAAATACAAAACTTAGGATATTGAGTATTTCATAATCTAAACATTATGAGCTTTGTAATTTGAAAATGTATTTATCCATGCTAGAATTTGTGTAGGCTACTGTAGTGCAGAAAGCACCGAAGACTTAGTGACTGCAAATAATCAAAGGTTTCATTTCCCTCTTAATCTCAGACATGAAGTAGCGTAGCTCCCAAAAACTACAGTAATTGACAAGCATTTAAATTGTGTGATATAATAACAAAAATGAGATAGTTTTTATTAAGATTAAATAGGAAAGAATGATTAATAGGGATAGGGTTGGGGAGGAGAAAAGAAACAAAAGAGTATTTGATGTTTATTAGATATATGAAAAAAAAATTGTGTTGAGTTCTGTACTTATCACCTGTTGAGAGTTTTCATATATATTACAAAAGCACATAATTATCTGTAAGTTATAGATGCGTGCGAAGTTTACCATTGATTTGTTGAGTTAAAAAAGATTCCTATCAATGAAAATAAGTCAGTGAAAAGTTGTGATTGGATTGTGAAGAAAATCATCTGAGCTTTTAGCGTGACACTTTATTTACTCCTTATAACTCTTATCTTCAGTGTTGGAGTGCTTCCTTAGAATTTAGTATGAAATGATGACTGGTTAAATGACAGACCAGCTAGTATTTACATGTAATTTCTGAAAATCAGGTCTGACCACTTGTTACAAGAATGAAGTAGGTACCATGCAGTTATTTGTCTCATACAGATACCAAGTACAGAATTCAGTAGTTTCTGGTACTTCAAATAGAAATATTTACTGCATTCAGACAACTTTATTTTCATTTCCTTTTAGAACATATTTTCTGAATTTATAACTATTGAAATGTTATTCCATGGGAAAGCTTTAGAGATTTATACTGCTGCCTACCAAAATATCCAAAATATTGATGAAAACGAAGATTTAGAGGTAAGAGTGATTAAGGTTTGCTTTTCACTTTACTCACTACAGAAAGACAGCTCTCACACTTCAGCAGTATTTATGTCTCATGCACAAAATGCAACGTTATTTTTCTGGTTCCCAGAACTTCTCATTTACAGTAAGCCCTTTTCTGCATTTCTCCAATGAGCATGTAGGTTTATAAGCTCAAAGAGTTTGGAAGCAGACAAGAACCACCCAGATTATCTGATGTTTCCCACAAAATACAGATGAGAGACTTTTCCAAAATTAATTGTTATTCCATGCTCAGCTAGTCAGTTTTTAAAGAACATCTCTGCAGTGAATTTTACAGAATAGATACACAGTAAGAGAATGTTGCGCTGCATTGATGAGATAATTTAAAGACTATTCCATTAAAAATCTCTGCTGTCTGCTTCGAGTCCTGTTATTTTTTATCCTTCCGTTGTTTTATATGAGGCTGTATGCTGTGACAATTTTGTGCTGTTCTAGTTTCAGAATTAAAATGGTATATATTTTAGGTATTTTACCTTTCACAACCAAATTTCTAATCTCATTTAGGGGTTCTTGTTAATTTGATAGCATATACTTCCCATGAAAATCCTGACTTACCATAATTCTTACATCTTCGTTTATGACACTAATAAAATTTTGCACAAATTTTTCTATTATTTTTGGTATCAGGCTTAGTTCTGTCATGTACTCTTTTTGGCTATTGGAAAGAACTATTAAGTAAAATAGATACTGTGTTCTCCCCTGTTCTCTAAGAGTTTTCCAGAATTATTCTTGAATTGTACATTGCTTGAATGTTTCAGCTGGAAAGCCTAAGAGGAGCTGCTGGGGTTGCTGGGTTGCTGGGATAGGTTAGCCTGAAACTGGCCATGTGGTGATGGGAAACCATGACAGTTTTTCCTTTGTAAATTCCTTCAGGTATCCGACGAATGGCTACTCTGACCACATAAATGTGCATTAGTTTCAAGTTGAGTAGGGTTGTTACTTCAGCTGAAAGCAATTTCTCCAAACTGCAGTCAATATATCTATCTAGAGCAGAGTTAATTGTTCAACGCTGCACTTTTACTAGCGTCTGGTTTGGTGGCAGTTAACTTAACTTGCAAGCTGTATCCTGGCATCAGTGTAACAGCTTTCTTCATCTGAACAGGTTTTTCGGAGTTCACTTTATCCACCAGACTATCAGTCTCGCTTAGACATAGTTCGTGCAAATTCAAAGTCCCCCCTGCAAACAACTGGCTCCTTAAAATCTTCACTGAAGACAGTACAGGTAAGAAAATTTAAATGTTAGGTCACTGTATAAAGAGAATGTCTTAAGGAAAACCTTAGCCAATGTAAACTACCTTTAGTCAGTTTAGGAAAGTCAGAAATTTGGGCATGAAGATCATATTAGCTTTTAAATAATGCAGCTTCAAAATATTTTTTTTTTTGAGGAAAAAATACAAAGTCAGCTTTTTAAGCAATGCTGTTTATTCTTGAAACTGCTATTTCCAATGATACCATTTCTTTTATTAACAAACTGTGGCATCCTGCAGTGCAAAGACATAGGAGCTTCTTGGAAACAGAAATGATGTTCTTTAAAAAACACTTGTGTATTACTAGTCAGTTTCCAAAGCCCAGTGTGGATTTTCTACCACATCCAGATTCAGACTAGTGATACCTCCTAGCAGCAAAGCAAAACCAATACTCCAAAACTTCACAGCAGATGAGGTGAAGGAAGATGGGAAAAATTAGTGTAAAGCTGAACCAAGCATCACTGCTTCTGAACTGCTACCTTGCAAAAATATTTCACTGTTGTTTGCAACAATGAACTTGCAGTTATCATCACAAATGACTATTTTTTTTTTTTTTATTGCTAAACTGATTCTTAGTAGTGTTTCAGTTACAGAGATGGCCAAATGTAAAATGTATGCATCCCACCTTTCCTCTTTGGACAGCCATGCATTGGTAGCGTAACACTGGAAGGTTTTCTTGATTCCATACTCTGCATTACCCCTTCTCTGCTCACAAAACTTAAAGGATCATTACAGTTGAGTTACTCTGTTGATAAGTTCTGCCATCTGAAAAGATGAAAGAAAGCTGTATTCCAGGGCATGATGGCCAACTTTGACTTTAAACAGGCTGCCCTTCCTCTTTCAAACAAGCAAATTTCAGGTTCATGTTATTTCAGAAATCATTTAACCATTCCTTTTTGAAGACCAGAGAAAGTCATGAAAAATCCATTGCCACAATCCTTGAGAATTCCCTGCAGTGCCATAAAACTTTATCAGGGTTACGGAAGTATTTGTAACATCAGGTGAAATAGCTGTACATTTGAACTGTATTGAGAAAAACAGAAAACTGAATATATACATGGTTAGAAATGGCACAGACTCTGTTTTGACTAACATGCAAGTTTATCTTTTCTCCCCAGCCTCTCCTTTGGCTTTGTATTTTAGAGTTTAATGTTCTCTTATTATTCTTATATCTGATCGGAATGGAAAGTCACCCAGACCTAGGGGGGAAAATAATGCCAATTCACTGTTATGCAACGTATCCACAGAGGAGGATCATACAGCTGGGAGAAAAAAAAAAAAAAAAAAAAAAAAAAGTGGAATACGTTACTTAACACAGTCACTAGAGAGCAGTAAAGAGACGCAGACATCCCGTTCAGTACCCTCCAACTATGCTGCTCTTTTTGATTCCGCAAATACTGTGTTTGCATCAGCTCCCTGAATTGCACTAGGGGCTACAGTTTCTTAAAACCACCAGACATCTCGCTAGAAAATCATGCTGCTTTCAAGAATGCCTTCAGGTGACTGGCATGATCTTTCTGTAGATCTTTCTCTCCTAAAATTTTCCCAACTGTTTGATTTCATGCATTATAATAATCTTTTACTGACCACAAGTTTGCAGTTTTTGATTTAAAGCAGTATAAATAATACTAGTTTGCAGAACAACACAGACTAACGCTGTAGGGAGGGGGAAAAAAAAAGTCATTGCCTATCAGGTGGGATGAACTGTGCCTATAATAACACAGTATTTGCTTTTCAGAGGATTTAGCTCATAGCATCCTAGAATGAATTTCTAGTTCTGCAACTGGTTTTCTGCAGTTATTTCTACATTGAAAATCAGAAGTGATCCTTAAGCATATAGCTAGATGTGATAGCCATTCTATGGGCAGCAAAATATTCTAACCATTGCTAAAAGTGTACACAGCAAGGTGTTTAATGCTGTATGTGACTAGCAATGAGAAAAAGCCAAAATTAAGCAGGAAGTAGAAACTAGCTTTTATTCAGAGACATGATTTGAGCTCTCTTCTTTCTAGAGCATCTGAATTTCTTAAGACTTAATTTTCCTTTTTTTTTTTTTTTGACCTATTGAAACAAAGCTACCTCAAGAGGCTCAATCTGTAGCACTTTATCTCTGATTACAAAGTGGCATTGTTATCCTTTCACAGAATGAAAAATTGCTATTTTAGGCATTTAGACTCCATGCAGTTCTAACTAATGATTAACTCAATTTTCCTGTTACATTCAAAAATTTGTAACTAAGTATTTGTATAAACCTAGATGATATATTTTGTGAGCATCAACACAACTGAGGATTCTTCTGCTTTTATTAGTTTGATAGTTTACTTTATGCACAAACAAAAATACATACACAGCTGTACAAACTATGGAATTTCAAAAGTTGGAATAACCAGAATAAGCTTTTAAAATAGGGTGTTGGGGAAAAAACAAAAAGTTTTGTCTTCAGTACTGAATTTTATAGGTTTGTATATACAAGTGCATGTGAGAAAAGTAAGGAAACATGAGAGCAGCAGCTGCCCTCAGAGTACTGCTGAAACTAGAATCATTTTTCAAAAACCATTCCAGTTGACACACGGGTAGAGAGCTGTCTTTGTTGAATTTAATGTTCCTTTCTTTGAAGGAGGGGAACAAACACCTGCATTCTACCTTAAATTTCAAATACTCCATATTTTGTGCAGAATCTATTTTAACAGGAATTAGATCGAGCTCTCATTAGAAAAGAATTATTGATGGCAGAATCTTAAATCGTTCTGATGGGCAAGTACTCGGAAAAACGTTCTTATGTGAATCAAGACATCTAGTCAGAAATATCTTAGAGCAGCACAGTTCTGAGTTTCTCAGCTGACTGAAAAGGTTTGATGTCTTCAAGATAAGATTATGCCTTAACGCTCACCTTCAGCCTGCTATCTAGGCAGCCAGCCTAGCAAAGAACTGACTTAAAAATCATCAGCATTTAATATTAATTCAATCAATAAATAGTTTTCCTTATCATATAAGTAGCTCTCAAGACTATGGGAACGTTAAGCTTTTAAGATTCATGTGCTGTTTTACTATTTTGTGCCTTATCTTTCTGTTGGCATTGTGCATTTTGCTGTAAATTGCAGGATTAAGGGATAAACACCACCATCAGTAAAGCCACCATACGAGTACTTTCAGTGCCAACAGAGAAGATTTTTGTTCTATGATTAAAAACATACTTATGTTGCATTTTTATTTTAGATTTCTAGCAGTACAAGGAAAAATGAAGAGGAAGAAGAGGAGGAGGAAGATGAAGAAGAAGAGGAAGAAATATAGATGCTAAGAATGAAGAGACATAACTAAACCATTATGTCTGAGTGTCTTAATTGACTGGCAAATAGAAAAGACATCTTTTTACATAAAGGTATTTATGTATTAGTCAAGAACTTCACTGTGGTTGTATTTTTAAAAATTCAACAGGAGTGAGAGTTAGTACTAATGGTAAAGTGTACAGACAACAAATGATGTTTCAAAGAATGGAATGTTAACTTGATGAAAATGGGCAGTTACAGTAGCTAGAAAATGAAAAATTTAAATATAATCTTGTATTAAATAGGCTCAGATGTTCTGATAGTGTAGTCATTCATTTAAGCTTAGATAGAATCATAGAATGGTTTGGGTTGGAAGGGACCTTTAAGATCACCTAGTTCCAACCCCCTGCTATAGGCAGGGACACCTCCCTCTACACCAGGTTGCTCACAGCCCCATCCAGCCTGGCCTTGGATGCTTCCAGGGAAGGGGCATCCACAGCCTTGCTGGGCAACCTGTTCCAGTGTCTCACCACCCTCACAGTAAAGAATTTCTTCCTGATATCTAGTCTAAATCTACCCTCTTCCAGTTTAAAACCATTTCCTTTCATCCTGTTGTTACACGTCCTTATAAAAAGACACTCCAGCTTTGTAGCCCCCCTTCAGGTACTAGAACACAATGTTCAAAAAGTGCACTCAGCTGACAATTTTCTCATTCCTGAGACTTGACAAAGATGACTTCTGATTCCTTTCCACATACAGAATGAAGCATTAATGATTAAGAATCTAGCCCAGTATCTTCTTCCAATACCGCATTGCTTGTATTTAAAAGTGCCTTCATACTGAATCTAGTTGATATAGTTGACATTTATTATGTTAGTTGAGATTCCCTATATATAGTTCAAATTTCATGTGTTTAACTGGTTAAGTTACCATTTCCATTAAACATGTAAGAAATTACACATTATGAGTGTAATTTTCAGCTTTACTATTTGCTAAATGTATAAACGGATCTTCATAAATTCTATGAAAAATGAAGATTTTTTTAAAAAGTTTTTAAGATGTTTAGCATGTGTATAAATAAGAATTTAAACCTGTAACTGGGAAAACAGTTTCAAGTTAATAAACAAATACTCCCTCTGTTAAGAAAATAAACCATTAATATTGACGCTATCTTTTTTCACTGATATAAAGTGTGCCACTCACACCTGACAGAACAAGTATGTAAGTTTTGCCAAAAACTACTGTGATAAAAATCTGAGTGAAAATGTTGCTATATGGGGTTCTGATTAAAAACCCAGCCAATAGTTTGCTTACAGCACAGTGGCACAGTATCATCATTTAACTACTGCTGACAAGGAGTGCTAATGAACAAAAGCTAAGAAGTACCAAGGTAACCGATGTCTCCATTTCAACAGATAGGTACTCACACATTTGTATCACATCAGGACCATCACTGTCACCACTTTACCATTTCATATTCAGTCAAGTACTGTTCTCCATTTCCTAAACAAATGGCTGGTTAACTTCATGACTGTACCATGTGATATAGTTATATGCAAAAATGCATACAACTATGCTTTCAAAACTGAATTATTAATAAAGAAGGAAAGTGTTTACATCAATTCTCAACTAAATGGTTAGGACAAGAAAAGGTTACCAACCCAGAAACGAGTAGTCCCTTATCAGTGGTTACTCAGACTTTTCTGTAAGCAGACAATGCCACTGAAGTAGGCATTTTCTGACACAAATCTCACACTTCACCAGCAGTAAATTTTCTTACCCTTTCAGCCTGGAAATCCTTTTTGTTACAGAAGTATGTGTGCAACAGTGCTACTTTAGAATCATGGTAAAAATTTTATCCATTTATATTCAGTACTTGACAGTCACTATTGTGTAGCTGGAAGAACTTTAGAAAGAACAGATAATGTAAAACTTAAAGTGAGTACTGTTTCTTTCACTCAATAAAAAACAACAGTTGACTACAGAGGCAAGACTTAAATAATACAAATGATGTTAGCTTACGAAAATAATCATGATTAAGTTTTCAAGAGCACAATTAGACCAAACAACTTTATTTTTAGGATTCTTGTATTCATGCTATTATTTTCCCTGCAGTCTGTTGGCTTTGTTAGGCATAGTTGTGAGCAACTATGAAGTAAAAAGCATCATTTTTTAAAAACTGCATTTAAATTCAGAGGAGTATACAGAACAGTAACACTTCTGAAGTTAATTCCTAGCAGTCAGAAAAAGAAGATAAGTATATACAGACTTTGAAAGTTTGGCCCCATCTAAGTTCCTGCTCTGAGGAACCCTTATCTACGTACCTGGCATTAGCATTCTGATTGAAAACACAGTTCTCCTAGCACTTCAAGACAAATAATATGCCTCAAGAAATGAAACTGTATTATCTTTTTAAAGGTTACAGAAGAAAAAGGGGTTTGTCTTGTTCATTTCTTTAAAGACATTACATGAGATGTAGCGATTATGATTTTATATAAAAGAATTAAGGTCAACAAGAACTATTATCCACAGAACTGGTTTCCTAATAAGCCTGAATTTTGAATGCAGTGCCTTTTCCTCAAATGGGCTAGCTTTTATTTCTTACTAAAATTTACTTATGTTGTTACCAAACCAATCAAAGCATTCTGAATACTAATCGAGATTATTTTCCTATATAAGAGAAAAACTTAGCTGATTGCCAACACAGTTGTCCGTGACAGATGTTAGTTCAAAGTGATCATATATTGACCTAGAATGCATCCACACAATCATCAGCAAGTTAACATTCATACTGTGAGCATGTGAAGGTGAAACAAGACCACTGAAAGTTCTGGCTGAAGCCAAAATTCTTGACCCAACTCCAATATCCATTTTTTGCCTCAGTGGTATAACTACATTGAGTGAAGAGAAAGCCTATCAACCTGGTTTGTATAGATTTTTGGAGTCTTTATAAACCATATATTCACCGCTATGTTGGCAAATGGTAACAGATCAGTCTTTCCACAGAAAGCAGCCAGGATCATTCTCACTAAGATCCACATACACTGAGAAATAGCTGAGATCAGTAACCATACAAATTTTAAGTAGGACAGACACTTAATAGCAATTTCTTTTTTATTTAAAAAAGTTGAATAGCCAGCAAACCCAGCTAATGTGAACAGGAAGATCTTTTTTCTTCTAATAGTGATGCCTGCAACCACGTAAAACTGAACAGCTTATACCAAAAAAAAAAAAAAAAAAAAAAAAACAGTCATTTTTTAGTTTTATTAAGCTAACCTCAATAAGAACTGTTATTACTAATGCAGGTAGCGCTAAAGTTTTTCTATTTGAACTGTGCATGGTCATCCAACCAACACTTACAGTTTTATCTGATGCAAAGTCAGAGAACAAGGAATTAAAGCAAACTAAAAAAATAAACATAACAACCCAACATTTTTTTCCTTTAAAAAAACATTAAAACTCCATGCTTTTATACCTCGACGTAAGATACTGAATGTCCTCCAGAACTTTGAAGCTCTTCTCTGTTGTAAGAAGTAGGCACTATATATTTCTCATATCTTAACAATACAGATATTTTAACCAGGAATTTAACCGAATTAGATACTATTTACAACCGTTGATGGAAACCGTTTCTTCTGCATCTTCTAGTAATTAAAAAAGTGAATGTAACCGTCAATACTGTCAAATCTATAATGTTTTATTCTAGAGCATCTTTACTTCCTTTACAGCAAACTCAACTTAACCTTCCGTGGACCAATTGGCCTATCGTTCAATTCATTAATAGCAGTCATAGCTTCCTCATAGTTTGTCATAGCGACGATGGCATCACCTGAAGGTAATCCTTGTTCATTGTACTGTACAGAAACTGACTCTGGTATAACTCTGTAGCCATAGAAAAAATCCAGAATCTCATTAGGAGTCGCTTTAAAAGGTAAGTTTTTTAAGCGGATAGGAACAATCCGGTCAGAACCACCACTGAAATTTGGGTCCGGCATAAATCTTCCTTCAGGAAAATTTCCCATTTTATTATTCCCAAATTCCATTCTGCCAAAAGGTTTGCTGTCACCACCAAAATCCATGAGGGGCGGTGGACCTCTAAAATCCTTAGGAGGGCCCATGAAATTCTCAGGGGGGTGCCTAAATTCAGAAGGATGCCTGAAGTTCCCAGGGGGACCAAATGAATGCATGGGTGGCCCTTGTGGTGGTCCAGGTGAGCCGACCGGACGGGACAGCTCACCTCTGTTATACGCATGTGAATGACCCTGCATTTCATTGGGCGTAGAGAATGGAGCGGTTACACCAAACTTCTGCATCTGCTCTTCAGATATAAGTCTTAGTAATACCTCTGTTCCCAAATACCTTTGATGATTTAAATTTTCTGCTTTCATTGCTTGCTCTTCAGATTTAAACTTCACTAATGCCTCTCCCAGCCCAACTCCTTTGTCATCATAGAGCAAGTAAATATCATCTTCATCAATATCAAACCTCTCAAAAAACCTTCGCACTTCAACTTTGGTCACATCAAATGGAAAATTCCTTACATAAGCACACATCTTCAGGCCAGAATGACCTTCCCGATAACTTTTTTCTGTTATGGCCTGTCCAGGATGACCTCTTTCCTGTGATCTTTTCCTTTCGTAAGAATCAAGCATTTTCAACATTGACTTTCTTGAAATTGGAAAAATGTAAACAGAACGATTGAGAAGAACCTTTCTATGACATTCCAAAGCAGCCTGATAATCTCTCTCGTTCCTTAACATTACAAAGGCATCTCTAGTCCTCCTCTGATGCTTTTCTGATAAAATCTTTATTTGTTTGTTGCTTATATCCAGATCAGGGAAGAATTCTCTCAAATCTCTCTTCTCCACATTAGTTGATAGATTCCTTAAGTGTATGTAATATTCCTGGCCAGAAGGTGATCGAGACCGCGTTCTTTGTCTCCTAGGTGATCTTGAATGAGAATGTTTCCTTGCATGCATGTAGCCCGAACTTCTTGGAGAATGTTCTTTGCATAAAAAGTGATCCATTTCATTTGGCATGTCTACCCTCCCACCATATTCTATCCACCGTTCCTCTGTAGTTGGACTTATTTCTATAAACCTCTGACCCATATACTGTCTGTGCCGTTTAAGTCCTTCTAAGGCATCACCAGGTGTAGCAAATTTTACCAAGCAATTACCATTATTTAAACCATTACGATGCTTAATCAGAATGACTCCATCCACACGTATCCCAGAAAGGAAATCGCGTACTGCATCTTCTGTTGCAGAATAAGGTATACCACGTAGAAATAAGTAAAGATCATCTGGGTTAAATGCATGAGAATCCTTTCTTGACTGATAGCCTGATTTAGGCATACCTACATCACCTTGTCTCGTGCCATTGGTGTGGAAGCCAGCCTCTGGATGATTTGGTGGACCGTAACCAGGTTTATTTATCCCTTTTGTAAATGCTGCAACTAAATGTGGAACATCTCCAACACCTGATCCACCAGAACCATTAGGACCTGTTCGTCTAGACCCAGGCATAGCTTCTCGTCCCCCACGGTCAAATCGCTTCCGGCTCATTTCTATGGTATTCTGCATTTCTGCCTTGCTGCTGAGAAAGAGCTCTATGCGCGAGTCCTTGATAAACCCTCCCGAACAGCTCATGGCACGCCGTGCATCTTCATCTGTCGCAAATATAATAAAAGCCTCCCCAATTTCTCCTCCAATAATATGCACACCTCCATCGGGAATATTCAATCCCAAGAAGAAACGACGGATATCTGCAGGACCCGCAACAACAGGAAGCCCCTGCAAACGGATGACTACAGCCATGCTGAGCTCAACCCACAGCAAAAATCACCTGCAGACAAAAAGGTACACATGATAGCACGTCTTTAGTACTCAGCTATTACAGTATCTTAACACTTAAACTAGAGCCTTTTTAAATGACTGTCCTTGTCTCAATCAAGAGAAAAGATAGCAAAATAAAAAAAACACCCTCGCAAGTTCACAAGAATAGGATTAAAACAAGATTCACTGAAAGTTGATTAGTCAAAAGCAATTAGCTACTCCACCTGCACAAGTCTATCAGCATTCCCTATCCTAAGGGCAACCAAATCCACCTCAGTTATCCTCTCCATCCATGATACCTGAAGAACGCCTACAGTCTTTCACGGCACAGCTGCTGTATGCCAGAGATCTCAGACCAGTCCTAAGGAACAAAATTTCCTGTTTACTTTTGAACAGGACATTTGTGAACATAAACACTAAAAATACTAGATGAAAAAAAGGAGAAACGAAAAAGGGTAACTGCGACACTGGAAAATGAAGTAATTCAACAGCAGTGATGACTTTACTGCTTTGACAAGTTGCTCTAACCAGTGATCAGTTCTGCAATCACATGTTTTTCTCAGCGTTCAGAAATGTTGTCTCTTTCATGTAGTCAGAATATTAATTGCAGCAGCCACATGCACTCAGGAGAGCGTATCCTAGTTCCCAGCCACAAGTCTGTGCGAATAAACTGCCGTGTACGATCTTGTCACAATACTCAGTGAGAAGTGTTAAGCTTTTGGCAGCTTACCTGTTTCTGCTTGGAAGACCTGATAAATTCTGTAAAATCAACTTAACTGTGGAAAGAAAATGAAACATAATTAATGGCTGATATCTGTACTTCGGTTTACAAACTTTGCTACATTGCTGCAGCGTCCATAGCAGCGGCTAATAATAAAGCCAAGCATGTAATGAAACCTCAATCTGTGATAAAATGAAGGCCTCCTTCCATGTTCCAAGGAACATTACATCTTTGTGTTTCCAAAGCAAAGGATATTCAAAAGTCGACTTCTGCAAATGATGAAAACGCGATGAGGTTCATCAACTGTGTCATACCAAACCGCTGAAATCAAACAGACCGACTATATATTGGGGATAACCCTCAAGTCTTTGAGTTCTTGAAAGATGCACAAGTCCATCTCAAGATTATAGTACGTGTCCATTCTTCCACAATCCACCTTCTTTCACAGTTCACAAGAGTATGCTACTCACCAGTCCAGCACCATACTTTACGTAAGCAGTGAAGACAATCAAAAAAGCAAACAAATATAGTAAGAAGAAACTTCAATGAGCTCCTCAATTCACAAAGCAGAATTCAGTATCTTCCCTAAATATTAACCGCCTTTCAAAATCACTCAATACACTGACTTAATCACATCCAAATTGTCAACATTATCATCTAATGACACACAATACACAGTGCAATACTGTCAGAACAAAGATAAGCTTCCAGAGCACACAACTACATTCCTTTAAAAAGAACAAGAAGCCAAGGCCCTGTTAACAAGCCTTTGCAAACATCTCCTGCAAAAAAACCTTGTTCAGGAACAAGGATAAAGCATTAGATCCTGATGTCAACTTAGCTACCGATCACAGTAACTCTCATTTCACCAGAGTCCAGAAAAGCAACAGCTATCACATTCTGGTCACTTCTACATCAGCACTTTATAAACACAACTAACCAAAAACAAATGCCTGTTTAATACTTGTACAGAAGATCATCAGCCCTCTGTATTTTTTGCAGTGAACTGACTCCAGCCAGCAGCCAAACAGTTGATTGTTTACTCCACATCCCCATCAGCAGGACAGGGAAGAGAATAAGAATGGATGCAAGAAAATTCTTGGTCAAGATAAAGACAGTTTAACATGTAAAGGAAAGATTAAAATTAAAAAAAAAAAAAAAGCAAAACAAAGGAAATCACTCACCAACTCCTACATGAGGATCTGCCTCAGAACAATGTCCACCTTAGAAGCCAAAAACATACCCTGCCTCCCTTTCCCCTAGAAAATCCAGAGAACAAAAATCTTCCTCTATCTCAGTTTGTGCTGCTGAGCAGGATACTATATGGTACAAAACATTTCTTTAGTTACCCTGGGCCAGCTGCCTTGTCTGTGTGCCCTCACAACCTCCTGGCCACTCCCTGTCTACCAGCTGGAGTAGCTGAATGGGAAAAAGAAAGCCTTGACCTTGTGCAAAGGCTGCGTAGGGAAAGCCAAAACGCTGGTGTTGTCAGCACTGTTTAGCCAAAAATCCGGAACACCGTATCAGCTGCTATGAAGAAAGTTAACTCCATCCCAACTGGACCCATTTTAATCTATCTTCTCAACAGATGTGAAAGCAATGCCAGAAGCAAGGAGAAATTCAAGGGCAGGACTTTCTTTGTAGGGCCTTCATGTCTTGAAAAGTCAAATCCGCTGCCCTGCTACTTGCCGATGTATTTTATCTGTAGTATTTCTGAATTTCATCCCAATCCTTAAACAGCATTCAGAACAGAACTCCTCAGAACTTCTTCGATGATAAATGGCAAGTTCTCTACGATGTATCATGGATACAACATACAACCTTCACTGGTTAAAACCAGACACTTCAAGAAGTCTTAAACAAAAAGCAAGATATGATAACACATTTTTACCGACTGCACATTAAACAATCAAGAAGCAGCACAACCTGTAGATAAGCCATCCAACTGTTTAACTGAATGAATACAGTGACTTTTAGGATGCAAGTGCCAATTCATAACCTGAGCAAAGACTTCAGAGAACAGGGATTTACATCATAAACAGACTGACAACCTCATGCCAGCCATTTAAAAACATGGAAGTACACCCACCAATGCTTTAAGAGATTCTGCACTTGACTGGGTTGGCTAGAAAGCAGTACATCTATACTTCCACACTCTTAGCAAATTTCAAAAGCCATTAAAACCTCGCTAAATTAACACTTCACTCAAAAAAAAAAAAAAAAAGGGAACATTTTATGAAACTAAGCCTGAATTTGACTAGCATTCTTGCGATGTATTGAGATTGCAATGGCTTGCAGACAGTGAACATGCAAACCAGAAGGCACATTCACAGAAATGTCACAACTGTAAAACCCGGTAATGAGAAGTGTCAAACAGCTGGCGGAGTGATGATGATTTGTTATTCCGATCGTCTTACAAACGGACTCTAGCACTGGCAAGGACTGTCGCACACCGGTTTCCCGTCGCGAAGCCAGACGGGTGAGCGCCGCAGCGGGCAGGCCGCTGGCGGGGCCGATCCCAGGGCCGATCCCAGCGCCGCAGAGCCGCAGCTCCGCCCGCAGCCAGCGCAGCGCCCGCCCGGAGGGGAAACGGGTCCCTCCCGCCAGCAGGCCGCGGCTCGGGGCCGCGGGATGGCGGCCGAGGAGAACGGGCCGAGCAGGAGGCCGCGCGGCCGCGTCTGGGAGCCGGCCCGGCAGGGAACGAGCCCGGCTTCCCCGGAGCAGGGTGACGGGAGGGGCCGCGGAGGGAAGGGCGAGAGGCACCCGGCGGCGCGAGGAGGCCTCGGGCGACGGCCGCGCAACGGCTCCGAGAGGGCCGGGCTGCCGAGGAGCGGCGACACGCGGCCGGCTCGCGGCGAGAACCCCGCGCCCTCGGTGACCGGAGCGCCCCGGGACCCCGGGCGCCGTCCCTCACGGCATCCACCCACCGGACAGGCCGCCGGGACAGCCTCCGCGCCGAGCGCCGCTCCCCGCAGCTCGCGGCGCAGTACCGCCAAGATGGCGCCCTCCGTCGCTCCCTCCCACAACGCTCCGCGTAGGAACCCAACTGCGCCTGCGCGACCCCCTCCCCTGCCCTCGAAGCCCCGCAAGTTCTTCCGCCTCTCTCCGCCAGCACCCGGTGCGGGGCTTCTGCCGTAAGGCGCGCTTCTGCAGCCGCCGCCGTGTGCGCATGCGTGGCGCCTTGGCGCGCAGTCGGAGTCCGGCAGCCCCGAGAGGAGCGGCGCTGCGGCAATGCGTGCGCGTGCAGCCGGCGTTCAGCTCTCTCCAGGCGGGCGGGGCGGGCCGTGGCATCGCGGTTACCTCAGTAGCTGCGCTGCCAGTTTCTTCTCAGAAAAATAACACGCAAAGCACTTCCGTTATACTTCGTTATCATGCTTCAACGTTTGGATAGTGATAGGACAAGGGGGAGCGGTCTTAAACTGAGACAGGGGAGGCTTAGGTTAGATATTAGGAGGAAGTTTTCACACAGAGGGTGGTGACGCACTGGAACAGGTTGCCCAAGGAGGCTGTGGATGCCCCATCCCTGGAGGCATTCAAGGCCAGGCTGGATGTGGCTCTGGGCAGCCTGGTCTGGTGGTTGGCGACCCTGCACATAGCAGGGGGTTGAAAACAGATGATCTTTGTGGTCCTTTTCAACCCGGGCCGTTCTGTGATTCTCTGATTACTATGCATTGCTTTACAAGTGAGATACCAGAAAGCGAGCCGCCTGCCCTCCATTACCGCTCTGTTACTGACCCAGCCGCGCTTCCCCAGCTCAGCCCCTCCCGTCCCCGCCCCGCGCACCCCGTCACGCGTTCCCGCCCCGCGCCGTCCCTCGCGGCCGCCGTACGAGGCAGCCGTGGGCGGGTAGCGCTGAAGGCCGCCGTAGCCATGGCGACCGCTGCCGCGCTGCTGCTGCTGCTGCTGCTCCGGGTGCCGCCGTCCGCCCGCGGCTTCTCGCTGCCCCTGCAGCGTCCCGGCGACTGCGGCGACGCGCGCTACTTCGACATCTCGCAGCTGTCGTGCGGGCCCTGCGGGGCGCACCAGAGGCGGAGCGCCGGCGGTGAGCGGGGCGGGCACGAGTGGCCGTGCGGGGGGGCGAACGGAACCAAAGCACGGAGCGCCTCGGGTTGGAACGGTCCTTAAAGCCCACCGAGCTCCAGCTCCCTGCTGTGGGAAAGGACGCCGCCCAGCAGCTCAGGCTGCCCAGGGCAGCACCAGCCTGGCTCTCAGCGCCGCCAGGGATGGGGCAGCCGCAGCTCTGTGGCAGCTGTGCCAGCGCCTCACCGCCCTCTGAGTGAGAAATCTCCTCAGGTCCCGTCTAAATCTCTGGCAGGATAACCCAGCATTTTTCACAAATGCTGGTTCTGTAAAACTGGGCTGGTAAGGATGCTAGTGGTGCTTGAACGTTGTGGAGCACTTCACATCACTGTATGTGATTTTTACACGGCCAAATTTAGGAGTTTACATTATAAATACAGTTCATTAGCTCTTAGAATCAATTTTATTTTGTAGTATGTGCTTAAACATATGGAGAAAAGTCCAGGATAGAGAGGCTAAAAAGTTTATGGAAAAAAAAAGGTATTGAGCATTAGCAAGTGCCATGAAAGTAGTGTTTACATGAATTTCAATGTTATTCACTGAAATTTCAAGATAAACTTTAGTTCACATGGAAAATTTTAAGTGTTTAAAATAGCTTCAAATCTACTTCTGTATTTTGATGAGCTTTTGCAGGTAAACATAGAATCATAGAATTGCTCAGATTGGAAAAGACCTTAAAGATCATCAAGTCCAACCACAACCTGACCATACTACTCTAACTCTAACAACCCTCTGCTAACTCATGTCCCTGAGCACCACATCCAAATGGATTTGAAACACATCCAGGGATGGTGACTCAACTACCTTCTTGGGGAGCCTATTCCAGTGCTTAACAACCCTTTCTGTAATGAAGTTTTTCCTGATATCCAACCTAAACTTACCCTGGCACAACTTGAGGCCATTTCCCCTCATCCTGTCACCTGTCACCAGTGAGAAGAGACCAACCCCGCTCTCACTGTAAGCACCTTTCCGATATTGGAAGAGGGCAACAAGGTCTCCCCCCAGCTTCCTTTTCATTGTATTCAAAGTATAAAAACTGAATTCAGAGATATAATGCTGGTGATGATGTAGAGAGTGGGCTAAGGATGGCACTGTGTTATTATTAAACCAACTGATAGAGCTGGAGAAAAAACACAAAAGTGCAACTTTTATGTGTTCCCGCTTAGTCCTCTCATGCGTCACTCAACCCTGTAACATTCTCCCAAAACCTATCCCTAGAAACAATGACATGAACTTTTTTTTTAAATAACAGGGTAATTTTCACATCTTACTTCTGTGCTTTATGCATACATCTGAAAAATTATATTGATTCCCTGAGGAAAAAATAACAGTTGTTCTTAGTATTCTGTGACAAAAATCAATTTTATGTAGATTAAAAGCTTGTCTTTGTTTTCAGGTAGTTCATGTGTATGTCTGCCAGGGTATAGGATGGTTTCTAATACTGGTGGGTCCTCTGTTATTTGTGAAAAATGCCCAGCAAATATGGTGAGTATTGAGCTTTCATACTTTGCCATAATACTGATACTAGATTTCCATCTGACTGCAATCTGTTTTGTAATTTAAAATAATTTTGAGAAATAGTCTTTACTTGGAAATTTTTTTACTTTAAAACCATGTTTATCCATAAGAATATTTTTCTCTTGAGAATGATGTATTATTTCAGAGGCATCTTTTTGTTAGAAATTTGATTCCATTGTCAAAGCAAGAGGATTTAAAATGTTCAATTTTCCTCCAGTGCTGTTGTGTTCTGTCTCATGTTGTATCACCTTTATATTACTCGTTATATTACCCTTGCGCAGACACCAACCACTGTTTTATAGAATGCTAAAGAAGAATTGCAGCTCATAAGTGTCTTATTTATATAAATTCTATTATAGATTGTTATATTCAGGCTGTATCTTCCTACTCCTTGATACTTTGCTTTGAAATGAGCTGCTGCTTTTATGTTACTGTAATTATACCTATGTACCCTTGTAGTCTGCTCAATTCTTTCTGCCTGTCTTGACAAATTATAGTACGATTCAAAGCATAGAACTGGAGGCACCAGCCTTAACCATCTTTCTCCCTCTAGAGTAAACAGAGAAGTAAAATTTCTCCAGGAGAAAAAAATTCTAGAATGACACCAAGCTGAGTGGTGCAGCTGACACACTAGAGGGAAGGAATGCTATCTTTAGGGACTGCAAAAGGTTTGAGAGGTGGGCCCATGCCAACCTCATGAAGTTCAGCAAGGCCAAGTGCAAGGTCCTGCACCTGAGTCAAGGCAAACCCAACCACAGATACAGGCTGGGCAGAGAATAGCTTGAGACAGCCCTGAGGAGAAGGATTTGGGGGTGTCAGTTGATTCAACGTGAGCCTGCAGTGTGTGCTTGCAGCCCAGAAGGCCAATGGTATCCTGGATTGTGCCAGGAGAAATTTAACCAGCAGGTCTAGAGAGGTGATTCTGCTCCTCTACTCTGCTCTTGTGACACCCCACCTGCAGTGTTGTGTCCAGTTCTGGGGCCCCCAACACAAGAAGGACATGGAGCTGTTGGAGTAGGTCCAGAGGAGGGCAGTGAAGATGATCAGAGGGCTGGAGTACCTCCCCTCCAAGGACGGGCTGAGAGAGCTGGGGTTCTTCAGCCTGGAGAAGAGAAGGCTCTGGGGTGACCTTATAGCGGCCTTCCAGTACCTGAAGGGGGGCTATGGGAAAGCTGGGGATGGACTTTTTCTAAGGGCAGGTAGCGATAGGATGAAAGGAAATGGGTTTAAACTGGCAGATGGTAGATTTAGACTAGAAGAAATTCTTTATTGTGAGGGTGGTGAGACACTGGAACAGGTTGCACAGTGAGGCTGTGGATGCCCCCTCCTTGGAAGCATTCAAGGTCAGGCTGAATGGAGCTGTGAGCAACCTGTCATAGAGCGAGGTGTCCCTGCCTATAGCAGGGAGTTGGAACTAGGTGATCTTAATGATCCCTTCCAACCCAAACCATTCTATAATTCTGTGATTCTAGAATAGTTTCCTTCCAATAGCTGTAGAAAAACTCAGGAGATGAGTTTAATTGCATAAGTTTAGCAACTAACTGGGTAATGCAAGTAGTTTTTCTCTGCTTTTCATCTTGTTTCACTAGACAAAGTCCTTGGCAAATATCTATTGGTATTTTTGTCATTCCACTTGTACTGGTGGTAATCTTTGATCCATAGCAGTGGACAAGGGAATAACATCTGTATCACCCAAAGATGGTCGTTTATCTTCACTTCCCCCATTGTTCTTGATCTGTGGTGCCCTTACTCCTTAATATAACAGAAGTGTGCTTGTGAATTGTTCTGATACATGCATGCAGTTACAAGAGCTGATCAACTCTAAGACTTCTTCATTTCCATTATTTCTGTATATGTGAATATGACTTTATGCATTAATATTTTTACTGCTTTTATATATATGTATACACATATATATTTTAGCAGAAAAACTCCATATCTTTTTTAAACCCAGCACTTTGAGTGAACTCTAGTCTTTACTAGAGGTATTAACAAATGTTTCAGAAAAACTTAAAAACACTTTTTTTGGTCTGTCTTTGATAGGAATTATAATATTATTATTATGTTGTTGTATCTGAACACATTTTCTAGTAAAGAACATTTGGATCAGTCATTCTTCACAGGTATTTGATGATTGTTTTTGAAAACATTAATAGTTTTATGCTTAATTTTAGAGTGGGGTTACTCAAGATGGATGGAATTGTGTTACCTGCCCTAAGGGCCTGACTTCTGAAGGAAAATGTAAATGTCTCAGTAATGAAATATTAGGTAAGAAACATATGCAAGTTATGAGATATTGCTGCTTGTTTTAGATAGTTGAGTTCTATTAAATAAAAAAGGAAATTTAACATATGTTAGCATTTGTAAGATAACAGTTTAGCATTGCTACTGATCTCAAACTTCGTTCCTCAAAGACAGCAAATCTTTATCACTGTTCCTTGAAATAAAAGCTAATGTGAAAGAGTTGTAGAAAAGAATACTGCATCGCTACATCACTTTCTTGAAGCTGGTTGGCACATGGAAGTAGGTGGTGAAATGGGGAGTAAAACCAATTTCAGTACAGACTTAAGAAAAAACATACAATAAAAAGACTTTTCACGTGTCTGTAATTCTTTGATTAAATACTTAATGTCCAGTTTGGTTTAATTTCTTACATAGTCTACTAGAGAGTCACTCTTTACAGGATGACTAATTTTAATTTTTTTAGGAATCTCTAGAAATGTTAACATCACATGAAAAAATATATCTATTCTGAGCCTTTTTGGTTTGAAATAGCAAAGAAGCAATACATGAAATACTTCATTTCTCATGACTACAATGTTGTGTATGCACTGTATAAACAACACATTGGTATACATACATATAGAGTCAGAGAATCATTAAGGAGTGATTGGAAAAGACCTCTAAGATCATCAGCCCAACTGTCAGCCCTACATAAATATATATGAGTATGCATTTATAGTGGATGTATCGTGCAAGTTACGCTTTTGATTTGGAGGAGATAAAATCTTTGCATTTATTTCAGATCACTGCACTGACGCTTTCATTATTAGCACTTTTTTTAAGCTGTATGAGATACTGTGCATCATGCTGTTATATCACAGCTGCTTTTCTTTACAACTCAGTGGAAAGAAGCGTTGATGGCATTTTGCTAAATGAAGCACGGTGCATAGTTTGTAATGGGAGCGCAGAGTCGTTCTCCGCTTCAGATGTGTTAGGAAGCAGGTAAGTATTCTTCCTTTTCACTGATAAATTTGGAAGTCTCATATTCTGTTTAAATGGAATATTTCTGAGATGAAGTCTGTATCCATGGGATATAAACATTTCTGGATAATAGAAATGTTCTCTTTTGTATCTACTGTATACATCCTTAAAGCTTGGTGAGAGTTTTAAAAGCAATGAGTTGGAATTTGTCAAGTCAATATCAAACTTAATATGAATTCGATAAAATCCTTACCTGAAAAGCATTGTTCTTTTGTTTTTTTGTGTGTTTTGCTTTTGTGGGCTTTTTTTGTTGTTTGTTTTGATAACTAACTGTATCATTTCTTTGCTTCTTCACTAACGGTAGAAACAAACTGATAATATGAGTTTTGGATTTCAGTTTGAATTGTTGAAGATGCTCATGGTATCATTAGGCCTTACCTCTATAAATGACATCCTATGTAGTCAGCTTTCACTAAGTACTTAACATCATACTTTATTGCATTTTGAGTGTTTTCTTCATGTTTGCAATCCATAGGTGTGTAAGATGTGAACAGACATTCATCAATGTAAGCAAGTCGTGCAACTGTAGCAGCCCAAATATTTTAGTAAGTAGAGGAATGCTTATTTCATCGAAATTCAGAAAAATGAAAAGTTGTGTTGAAAAATACAAACATTTCCATTTTTAATTTTCATTTCTTTTTCAGAGTGGAGGTTTATGTTTCAGTGCTCGTGAAAGCTTACCTCCAAAGGGAATTGCAACTGTTCGGTTTGGACAGCTAGTAAGTATTTTTATACTGAAGCATTTTCAAGCTGTATCCAGTAAGTCTTTTAAATTCTCTTCCTGGAAAACAAAGGTGGTGGTGGCTTGCTGTCCAGTTGCAGTGATTGTGAGGTAATTTGCATCAGCATAAAGATTGGAGTAGATATGAAGATCTGGCAAGCATTGCTCTGTTGGGATAGGTTTAAGAACATCTTGGAAGCTGAAAAGTGGAGGTAATTTACATGAGTTTGGTATCAAAACAAGTTGTATGTGGTCTGTTGTATTTATTGGATGTGGATTTCTTTGGTGGCATGCAGCAACAGAACAAGGGCAACAGGTGAAAAGCTTCTTGAAGTGCAGGCAGTTCCATACTAACACGTGGAAGAACTTCTTTACTGTGAGAGTGATGAAGCACTGGATCAGGCTTCCCAGAGAGGCTGTGGAATCTCCTTCTCAAGACCCATCTTGTTGGGAAGATTTAGGCTTGCTCAGTTATCCCTAAAAGAGACAGAGGAGTCTTCAGCTTTCTTTATTCAAATAAAGGGAGAGTCTACTGAGGGCATTTCTGAGTAGGATCTCTCAATCCATCAGAGGCCCAGCCTCTTTTTACTACTATACCCTGATGCTATAGTGAGCTCTCTTCCTTATCCCCCCATTGGCTAAAGTACTCAGAGTTCACATTCTTCTCAGTTCACCTACCACATGTTCATCTCCCCCCTAGACACTAGACACCCCCCTTTGTTTCCTGTGTTTTTACAAACTTTGTAGTCTGAATTCAGAGTTTGCTGTTTGGCCCAACTTTGTGTCCTGTCAGGCACAAAGCAGGTTTTAAACTAGCATCTCCTGCCATATACCCAAGATAACTTTGTTCAAATAGTTCTCCTCAGCTTTTATTCATCAGTCTTACCTTATTTTGCAAGCACATCTTATCCTTTTTTCATTCATCTCCATCTCAACTCCTATCTGTGAGACCTACTGTAGGGAATCTGCTTTAGCCGGGGGGTTGGACTCCATGATTTAAAGCACCCTTGTATCACAAAAACACACAGAAGAGTTCAAGAGTTTGGTTTAAATTTAACTGTAAAATGCAGGTGGTTAAATGAATTTTGCAAATGTGGTTCCAAGTTAGATTAACCATCCAGTCAACTCTTTGCTCTTGAAATTATTAGTACTTCCTTGTGCAGTAAAAAGAGCTCCTTTGTCACAGAATCTGTTCTCAAAACTTCAGTAGTTCCACTCTTATTACATGTATTTTGTCTAACTTAGCGGAGTGAAACAAATGATTTCATTTTGGTGGTTGAGTTTAGAAGAGAGCTGGTTCAATTTAGATATTTACAAAGGTCAGAAAGCTCTTATAAAAAATAAGTAGCATCTTCTGTTTGAGAGTTTCCCAGACTGTTGTGTGTTCAGTTAATTGTTCTGAACAAAGACAGTGAAGCTATTCCTTCCTTACAGGGTGTAACACTGACATCGGCTTGGTTTCTGAAAAACCTGCAAGCCTCAGCCTCTGCCTGCTGGGTGAGTTTCATTAATGTTTGCAATTTGCTTTTTTATGCAAAACAAGTACTCTGCATAAAAGCCCCTCTAACACTGGGGCTTTAGTTTGTGGAAGTTGGCTTGTTTTAAATAACCTTATTTTGAGAAGACAGTAGATAAGAGAAATGTATATACAGAATGCTTAGAAAGACTATTAAGATGTAGTGAATGGTAATGCAAGTCTCTGTGTCTGAAATCTTCACAGGGTGAGTAATATTAAAGTCCTGCAATAGTCAGTTTTCTACTGAGTATATTGGAGGAGGAACCCCTCAAAAATTGGCAGCTGGTCTTTATGTCTTCAGTGGCTTTCAGTTGATAATTCTGTTTTCTGATTGAGAAGGACAACCATTGAACCTTCCATTTTATTTCTGTTTTGATTTATGTGTTAATTTATTTAACTGCATATTGCTTGCATGGCAGTAACCATGAAGAGTGGCTGCAGCAACAGAATCATGCACAGAGTGAAGGGGATAAGCCTGCCTCATTTACCAGCCCTCTTACCTCACTCTTGCTTTGCCATATTCCTTTCCTCTCAACCACGCTTTAACTTTTCATAACCCACATTTTCTCCCCACTTCACACACACCACTCTGAGATGTATCCTCCTCCTCATTCCCTTCATTCTCACCAACTGAATCTGTTCTCATCCCATAGGTAAGTTTATCCTGTTTCTCCTGCTGAGCTCTTCCAAGGTGCTGCCTGAATATTTGTGCAGCTGCTAATCTGACCCATGCAAATGCAATAGGTGATGGCGAGTTAATACCAGTGCTGTGATTGGCACCTGTGTGCAGTTGCCAGGAATCACTTCTGCCATCACATGGCAGCGTTTGTTTGCCAAAATTGAACAATTATGTAAATACAAGGTTTAGAAACAGCAGATTACAATAAGTACTAAGCTGAAGAGAGAATATTTATGAAGCATGCAGCTATAATAAAACCTCAATTTTCAGATGCAGATTTTGATTTTTTTTTCTTGCATCATGCCATCTAGATAACGCAACAACAAAAAAACTCTAAAAAAATGGGAGCATTGATTTCATGCTGCCATTTGGAGACCTTCAAAAATGTAGAACCAGAATAACTTGAAGAAAATATTAGATGTTGGCAAAACAAAATCACCTTCAAGTGACGATGAGGTTTAGGAATGACTGAATGTAATAAATTTTGTATCTCACATAAAAGAGCTCATAATTTTTTTTTTCTGTGTTCCTGTGTTTCTCCACTGCAGTTGTACTCTAATCTAACAGCGTGCCAAGCTCTTGGAAATATGTGTGTAATGAATATGAACTCACTGAGTTCCTCAAGTACGGATGCCTGCAATTTATTTCAATATATTTATGCCAACACAGCAAGGCTAGGCATTGTCCATTCAATAGCATTCTGGTAAGTTACCTTTTCCATTACGTTCTGTCTTGAATTGTGTTTATAGAGTTTATTATTCTGAGTGTTCTCTGATTTAAAACGTGTTTCTTCAGAGAAAATGTTGTGATGTTTTTCAGGAGACATAATCTGCCATGGCTGTATTATGGTGATCAACCAGGATTAGCATCCCAAGTGCTTGAGACAAATCATCTCCCTACTATCTTCAGTTTTAAAGGAAGAAGTGAGGTAAGTGATAGGCAATAGATGTGGGAAATTGGATGTTAAGTAGAGGACATCATCACATAAAAAGTTTTCAATTTGTTGCAAATCCAAGTCCACATCCAAAGATGATTTTTAGGCAGCTGGTGTAACAAAACTCAGTGGGAGATCTGTATAGAAGAAGAAAGTGATATTTATGTTAAAAAAAATTCTCCAGGAAAATATTATTTTACTAACTCACACTTGCATGCACATTTCTGTTGCTCATACTAGTATACTCACAGCCAGCTAGTAAGTCCTTCATGAGACTCCAAGATTCTTCTGAATTGGCAGTGATAAACTAGAATTTAGATCTTTTATAACCCTACAAAGTTAATAGGAGGTTAGGCATTGTCCTTCACTCCTAGAATTCTTTACTTCAATTTCTCTAAGTCTTAAGAAAGTAGTTAGATGTGTTTTTCCCTTACTTGAAATACCTACATCCTTACAGGTCTGTCAGTTTTCCTCATGAACTAATTAGAAAAATAAGGGTGTAAGTGATGTGCTGTAACTTTGCTGCTAGTGTCAGGGTGCAGGGTTTTTACTGACATGTCTGATTTGTAGTTTTATGTCAGCCCTCGCCTCAGTTGCAATGATGGGAACTGTATTCTCCATTGTTGTTACACTATTTAAGCCCTTCCTTCTCTTGTTTCTGGCACTTCTGCACGTATTTCTATTCATATGCCAATTATATCAACTTTCATTCTTGTGTTACAAATCTGAACAACCTGAGTTCTATCAAAAATTGATTCAATCTATCATTCCAGCTCAGAAATTTCATTTTCTTTAGATAAGTAATTGGTGTTTTATTTTATGAAATTGTTTTAAAGTTAGTAAAACTGGAATAGTTCATACAGATTAAGTAGATCACAGAGAATACAGTGGTAACCTGTAGTTTATACTGCTATATTTATCGTTTCTTCCAGTTGACTTAAAAATAAACTAATAGGCTTTTTAAGCAAGTTGAGTTGTGTTTTATATTAAACAAAGTTGCAGTGTTGCAGTTCAGCTTCTGCTTTAACAAGTAAGAAGTGTTCATCATAAGGCTGAAATTCTGAGACTGCTGGATGTTTGAAACCTGCACTGATTTGAAATTACATAGGGTGTATCTACCTGTATAATGTACTTAATGTGAACAGATTCTTTCAGTCCTACCAGTTCTAACAGAAGAGGCCTATAAAAAAATACTTACTATATTTCTATAGGAAATAGAAATAAGAGGCTGGAGAGATATACTAAATCCCTTCCAACAAAACAGAAAAAGTCTTGTTATAACTGAGCTGTTTTGTCACTGTCAATTAAAATATCTCAGTATTTGTTACTTTTGTTAGGTTTCCCTTTACCTTCCAGCACTGAGATAAATATAGAAAGTCAGAGGCCTCTCAACAGAAATCAAGAAGTAAGAGTCGTATTCTTTTTCACTAAGTTTAAATAAGTGTTTTTTACAGTCATTTAAGGCTGCCAGCCTATAAATGAGGTTAAGGAGGCCACCCCTTCTGGTCACACAGGTGTATTGTTTGCAACTGTGCTCCTAGGCCTGGCCATGCCCCTTCACCAGGTGTTCAACCATTGGTTCAGGCCATGACCTAGAGGTCTCATACTCCAAGAAAGCTCAATGTAATCACCACCAAATGTGAAAGTAGTTGAATAAGCATGATCTGGTAGAAGCATAGCGTAGTATGGTTTTGTAGCTGTTAGGTTGTAGGTAATTTGTGTTGACTGTGAATTTGATTTGAGCAAATGCCTGATATTTCTACAATTATGTGTATGCACTCAAGAGAAACTGAATCATTCTCTTGGAAGCTTTTGGTTTGAGGACAAAAATATGCAAGCAAAAAGTGAGGCTATAAAAGAGAAAAAAGACAATTAAGTTTAAAAACAAAAACGAAAGTAAAATACCAAAACTAAAGTATAAAATCTGAGGGGGAAAAATAAATCTTTGTACTGAAAGTTTTATAGATGCATAGAATAATGAGACAGTAATCCCTAAAGTGTTTTGTTGTGTCTCTTTTTTTCTATCATCAGGATGTGAAACTGCAGTTTATTGCAGCCTCGTATGATGCAGCAGGAAACTTTCTTAAATGGCAAAGTTTGGAAGGAGGCCTCTTACAGGTAAGTTTGATGTAATTGCCTTTTTTTGATAATGTGGTGTTGTGATTGCCTGCACGCAAAGCCTTCAAACAAAAGCCAAGTGTCACATTACTACAAGTAGTGACAGTTCATAAGATAAATATAAGTAGATTAGGGAAAGTAACCCTTGATTGAGGCTCCAGATGATCTCTCCAAAATGAAGAGTATAAACTCAGCAACCTATCATCCAAGGGGCCAATATCCATTTAAAATACCTGAAAGTTCTGAGAAACAACGAAAATTGGAAGCTATGGAATGTAACAAAGTCTAATTTGTTCAGCTGTCCAGCAGTGATGTAGGCTCTCTCAGCAATTCTCTAGGCTGGCAATAAGAGGAAGACAGGCAAAAACAATCAGGAATTGTCCATCCTCTTTTCTAAGCTCTTCACATCACTCTTGGTGCACTTCACTTTAAATGCTTTGGTATCTGCAGAAGAATAGTTGACTTTCAGGATTTAGATGGTGACTGCTGTTTGTTTTGTTACTTTCTCAGGATGAATTGTCTTGCTTCTGCCTTCCAGATTTTAAGGAAATAAGTGTTTGAGAAAATGGGTTATTGAGCTAGTGATGACATTGGAAAATACTGTGCAAGAATAAATTGAAACAGCATTTTAATACCTACATTAATACAATAAGTATTATTGCTTACTCTTTAAAACCAATCCTTAAAAATAGAATAAAATGAAACTCAGTATATATTTCATGAACCTGCTGAATATATAAACTGCTTGGGGTACCTGTGAGTATTTAGTGTCAGAAAGTAATAGCTGAATTGAATTAGCCTAATTATTATTATGTTTTGTTCAGCTTTGTCCTGATACCCAGACTAAATTGAATGCAGCTTATGTATTTGGAACAACTTATGAACAAAGTGTAAGTAAGAGAGAAAATGCTTTTCTGAATATATGAGTTAAATTGCTTTGCTGTGTATCATCAGTAACTCAATGCTAAGCAGTCCCAGCTCTCTCAGCCTTTCCTTATAGGAGAGGTGCTCCAGTCCCCTAGTCACTTTCATGGCTCTGCACTGGGCTGTGTCAAACAGCAACGTACCTCTCGTGCTGGTGAGCAGAGAAGCAGACATAATATTCCATGACTGTAGTGTTTGTGCTGTTTGTAATTGTATGTCTGAAAGTTGCTAGAATATCTTTTCCTGGTCTTTTGAAAAATAGCAGAAGAAATGTTAGCAGAGCTTCATTCTCCTAATTGGTTACCTGCTCAACTGCAGTCATTTTTATGAGCTTTGTATGAAATCATTAGTACGCCATAATTGCTTGCAAACAGCTGGAATGCCTTGTCTTTTGCAAAGGACATAGAACGATTTCACAGCAGTTTTATAAGGGAAGAATCCAGAGTTGAGAAAGTCATGAAATGGCTGAAGTGACCTTTGTATTCTGATGTTTTTTTCCTCGTAGTGCAAGATTTCTGTTTCCAAGATTTTACTGGATTTTACTAATCCAATCTTTTATGACCTATTCTATGAATATAATGGTGACAGTGGACAGCAATACCTTTGGGCTGTGCCAGTGTTAAATCTGAATCTTCAGTACAGCGAGATATATGTGAATCAGGGTAAGAATATCACAGCAACAATTCTCTGAAGTTCAATAATCTGAATAACTCAGGATGCCAAGGCTTTGTATTAATTACAGTCTCCAAGTTGTTTTTTAAAATACCTTCATCCACTGTAGTTTCTTTCTTTCTTTTTTTTTTTTTTTTTTTTTTTTTTTTTTTTTGTGAATTTATCATTTTTCTAGACATGTTCTGATAGTGTTATGTGCAAATTTTGATTGAAGATACTGGTCCAATCAATAATATGCACAAAAAGGTTATCTGGTGTTATTATATACCTGTTTAAATTGAAAATACATAATTCTCCATCCTGAATACAAGAGTACATACTGCTTTTATTGGATTTCATTCTGCTTGTGCATTGAATTAATTTCTTCAGTATTATAAGACACTCATTTTCTTTTCATAGGCAGCAGCATGAACAACTGGCTTTTGACTCGTCGCTTCTTTTTGGTGGATACATTGAGTGGAAGAGAAAATGACTTGGGAAAACTACCAAGAATAATTCGAATTGCTAGCAAAATAACAATAAGGTGATTAAATGCATGTGATAAATGCAGTCTTGTGCAGTCTGCATTTTGTGGTGTCTTAAATGGAAGTTGTTTCTCCTATGTTCTGTGCTGTTTTTCCCGTTGCTTACTTGAAAATAGTAGGAGTTTCTGTAGGTTATTCTCCTGAGTGAGAGAGAATAGAGAGAATACCTCTCTGAACACTGATTTGTGGGGCTTAAAGCTACTGTGATTACTTCTCACTTAAGATGGATCAATCTTTGTATGCATAATGCAAGTTAATGGGCATTCAGTCATCTTATATGAGCAAGTGTCATCAGAACTCCTCTGTGATTTTTTGATATATATATTGCTGACTATATAAGGATGCTATTTCATATTCCATATTCTTTTTGCAGTGTTTTTACAAGCTGTGGCCTACAAATGTTGTCATACAGTCCAGAATGGTCTTGTAGTACAATAGTCTTGCAGTGCAAGATTGCTTTTTAGGGTCATCACTGCTTGTGAATCCGAAGTGGAATCTGTTTTGAAAGAACATTTTATTTCCTTCTTTATACAACATATTTCTCTGAGATCACTGTTCAAACGAAATTGAGATCTTTCATCAGCACTTCTTTACAATTTAGCATGAAATTTTGGTTCAAAAGATTGCTGATTAGCAGTGTCTTGTCACATATGCAGGTAAACATCTTGAAGGTTAATTTAATGTACCAGCTCTGGTTGTTATGATGTACATATAATGTTTTTCAAAAAAATAAGGATTAGTTTATTAGGAGACCTGAAGAGATCAGTAGTGTTCCCCTCCTCCCCCTTTCAAAAACAGAATAAGGAATTAAATTCTAAATAAGTATAGAAAAATTTGTTCTGCAGTGTTTCGAGAAAACTTACCTTTTGGAATTGACTTCCAGAATGTGAACAGTATGTAAAGATTGATTTGAGCATCATCTTACAAATAAACGCCTTACCCAGCTTTTCCTTTTATCTATCTGTTTGCCCTTTGGGTTGCTTTTAAAATGTGAATTGCCACAATTCTGACTTTGCATTGCACTTATTGATCAGGTTGTTCTCTTTATGTAGCATTTTCCTGTTAGTACAAGTTTCAATCAATACTTTCCAAGCAGCTCATCCATTTGCTACATTTAAATAATACTGTTTGTATTTCTGCAGTATTCGTCTGGTATCCCATACTCAGAAAGGAACTATCTACCCACCTCTCGTTACTGTTGCTTACAGAGATGTGCTTGTCCAAAACCCTGATACCCAGAGTGTGACGGTGAGACCCTCGTGCTATCTTAATTGATCTGCTTTGTTAAGCAAGCTTTTAGTTCTGTTGAAATTCTGCTTGACTGAGCGTGTTGGAGGGGTTGTAAAAAGCTAAGCAGTCTGTAGTTCAGCTCAGTTTTGAAGTTGCAAGTTTTCATCAAAACAAAGCTTTTAAAATGAAGCAGTTAAAAGCCTCTTCCTTTTGTCTCAAGTCTTTTAAATCAAGATATGTAGGATTTTACAATTGGGTGTGTAATGGTAAATTAGACTGTAGGGCAAAGGAAATACTAAAAGTGTATCTAATTTGTGCAGTGCTCTAAAAGCACCATTTTTTGCAAGAAATTGAATATTTAAAGAAGTGCATTAAGAGGAAGTTGTTCTGACAGAGTTCAGATTACTTGTGGTTAAGTTAAAATATTGATAATGCATATATAACATCCTTTATTTTTTTGTCTGCTTATGTTAATTATTTGCAACAGATCTTTAAGAATTAAAGTAAAATAATCCAATAATCTGTAGCCAGAGGAATCAGAAACTAGTGGCTTGTTCGCTTGTTAGATAACACTGCTTATAGATAAATGAAAATCCTGAATTTAATATAACACAACAATGATTCTGCCACAAATAAATACTACTAATAATGTTTTCTGCTTATCAACGTTCCTCAGCAGTTCAGGTATCCAGTTCAGATAGACATTCAACTGGAAATTCCTGGTACTGGAACCATTCCTTGCATTCTGTATCAGCTGAACGAAAGGAGGGAAAGGAGGGGAAATTAGGAGAATAGAAAAACAAAAGTCAGCCTTCTTTTCTGTCAATATCATGTCTTTATTTAACCACAGAATTAGGTCTTAGAATAGGTAAATAGCTAGAGAGAGCAATTTTGGTGTTGTGTGACAGTTTTTATTTCACTCAAGTTGGGAAAGAAAGGTGTCTGAGCTATATAAGAGCTCACTTAATGATTTTGTATGTTGATGTAGTTAGATTAAATCCTCTTTTAATCAACAGTGGTAAAGAGGAAAATATCAAAGCTGTGGTGTCCGCTTTCAGATGGAAAAAATGCATGCGGAGTTGAAAGGATTATAATGGGGTGCAGCTGTGAACCTGGAGGTAGCAGGGGTTCATCCCCAGTGTTATCATTAGTAAAGTCAGCACTAAAAGTTGGAAGAACACGTGCTAGTTCTGTGCTTGGTACTGTAGCACATCAGGGGAGGATGTGTGCAGAAAAAGATTGATGTTGCATCCACGTTGTAACCCTAGATGAGAATCCCTATCAACTAACAACTGTGACCCACCGTTGGTTACAATCATTGTGGCATTTAAAAATTTCTTTTTCTATCTGAATTTACTTTTTCTATCTGAATTCAGGTTTCCTTCTCAGTCCATTATGAGATGAATCAGTCGGAGGCTCAGATTCAGACAGATGTAAGTTGTATTGCCATTTAATTCACCAGTGTAATGATTTGCTTCTCTTCTGTCTTTTTAAAAATATCTACAACGAATGTATCATTTATTTCAGATCACGCTGGGTGTGCTGGGTGGGCTTGCAGTGTTATGGTCCCTTCTCAGGACTGCAGGCTGGAAGAGGCGTACAGGCAGTTCTGTGATTGACTTACAGGTATAAATAGCTGGTAAACCAGACAGGGACGTTTTCCTGTCTTTAAGGAGACCTTTGCTGTCATTCCCTGTGATATAACCATTCTGTTTCTTACGGTAACTGAAATAATTTCTAACCTAGCTGCACAGAACTATGACTTGGAGTTAGGATCACTTGAGGAAAGTAGGCTTTTTGCATTCTTTGCATTCTGATGTTGTCATTCAGGAAATAGCTCTGCTTGGAGGAAAAAAAAGTATTTATCAGCAGAGCTATTCTGATCAGTTGAGTGGCCTTTGTTTTCAAGGTCATTCTTTTATATATTCATTATATTATGGCTGCAATACAAAAACAATGTCTGGGGCTACTTCTCACTACTAAGAGGTTCCTGAAATGAGAGCTGCTTAATGTCTTATACAAACACACACATACGTGGCTTAACTATTTTTGCAGACCTGTACAGTGTGCTTTTATAATTGCAGACAGTTTTCAAGTTCTTACTATTTTATGCTGGAGACCTTGCCAACGTTTTCTTTATCATCACAGTGGGCACAGGGATTTATTGGCTCGTGTTCTTCAAAGTAAGTGTTTTCCCAGATTTTGGTGTTATATGAATAACTATTAATATGGCATTATTTTATATTATCATTTTTACACAAAAATTCATTTTCTCTTTTTTTTTTTTTTTTGCCTTTCTGATCAGACCATTGAGGCAAGTTTGGATATGATATTCTATTCTGTGTGCTTAAATTCTTGTGATCACCTGTTTCTTTTCCTTAGGTTCCTTTGTGCTTACAGTCTGCTTAAGAGTCAGCTAAAATATTTTATGAATTTGAATCCATTCCATGTTAAATATTGATTTTTTTTGCAAAAAGTATTCAGTCCTGAGCCCTTCATATGTTGTTACATTTGCCTTCTGCACTGTTTCAATGTTGGTTCTTAATTACAGGCTCAGCAGTTCGTCTCTGTCTTTTTACCACTCCCATCTCAAGAGAAAGCTTTTGTTACATACATAGCATGTGCTTTTAGTTTAAAGGTAAAAATTTTTCCTCTTATATTAAAGACACTTTAACATACGCATCTGTATTTTCAGTAGGCTTGAGCAGTGCCTTTTATTTGTGCGTAGAGGTGAACAGTTATTTTAAGAATTATGTTATTTTTCCATAGAAATTTATTTTGTGGAGCCCTAATGGGAAAACAAATGTGTGAGGACTCTAAGGAAAGTTATTCTTTCAAGGATAAAAGTTAAGGAAACCCAAATAAATTAACAACATATCAAGAAAGACAGTGCTTTCTTTTAATGCAGAGCAACTGCAGTCAGTTCCTATTAAAAATGAGCATAACTCAGATTAAAATAATTATCTTCAAGCATTCATGTAGAATTGAGAGGTCAGTATTCTGTCTCCATGGAAGCATACTGAATCAGAATTCGTACTACTGGTTAATATGTTGTGGAAAATGCTGGGCTGATTTCTTGGAATTTATTATTTTGCTGTGTTCTGTTATTAATTCTGGCCATCATCACATGACTTATCATTCTTCCAAGCTTTTAGTGATATTTACCTATCAAAACTTAGTAACCAAACTGCAGTCTCAAGTGTAGTAAAGTGTATTACTTATTATGAGTTCCATTTCTCTCATTTTCTTTTCTTTATATTTTTTTATAGGCTCTGCAATTCTTGCAATTATTGGTTTCACAACTTACTGTAGATATTTTCTTTATCGACTGGGAGAGACCTAAGGGCAGAGTTGTTAAAGCAGTTGAAGGTAGCTCCAGCTGTACTTGTTAATATACAGAACTTTGGTTAAATATTGATATTGATCCAAAATATTAAATTTCAGAGCTTTAATGTGTGTATTCTTTTTAGGTGAAGGTGATGTAAAAAGTGCTGCTGCACCTGTGAGCATATGGAGAACGTATTTTATAGCCAATGAGTGGAATGAAATTCAGACAGTGAGGAAGATAAACCCTCTCTTTCAAGTGCTCGCAGTTCTTTTTTTTCTGGAGGTATTACTGCTATTGTTGTTATTTTTTATTATTCACATCCAAAATGTAACAGTCTGTGTTTTAATTCCTACAGACTCTGCGGATGCCTTTCAAGACCACTTGCGTGCATGCTGCTTTGTGAATTACTGTTTTGCTACCTTCTTTTATACTTATGTACAGGTGTATACATCACTGTGCTATTTCGCTAAGGAAGACTTCAAAGGAAAAACAAACCCTTAGAAAGCTCCATTAGTTTTATTTGTTCTTAAGCTAATGAGTTACCCTAAGCAGCTAAGAGGCTGATACATTTGTGTATGCGCTCAGTTCTTTATTTGTTTACTTGTTCCCTGCTGCCACAGTCTACAGCTTTATGTCTGGTTTTGTATTTGTCTCAACTGGAGTTTTCCTTCCTGCTAATTTGCTATTTGGTGACCTTTTATAAAGCAGGAATGAAATGTGCCAATTCTGTTCCTGATGTCATAACATAAGGCAGTGTTACAGCTTCAGTTCAGAAATTGTGCTTTAGCTTTCCAAAATCATTTGGGTTTGTTTCTTCAGTGCAATTTGGTAATTACTATTTTGGCCAGTACTTTTAAGGCGTATAGCTGTTTATGTGAGGTTCTCTGACATTTTTAAATACTTTAGTTCATTTTAATATATTTTTTTAATGTTCTATTTTTCCTTTAAATTAAAGACAGTTAACAAATTAATTTTTCATTAACTGTTTCAATACTTTTGGTAGATATTGGCCAGACCAACTCCAGTGCCATGGTACAAGGAAGGAGTGAGAGGAAAGAGAGCAAGTATTCCCAAAACTTAACTAGCCTCCTCTAGTTGAATCTTCTTAGGCTCCTGTTATTACTAGTAGGGAAAGAATATTTTAGTTTATTTTATTACATTTTACTTGGTAATTCCTGCTATGAATCTGCTCTGGAAGACTCCCTTTCTTGACACTGATAGTGGAGGAAGTCGTGAAAGATACCTGAATAGGCTAAAATTGGTGTTTGTGAAAACCTCCAGTAATTTTAATGTCTTTCATTGCTGTTCTGGAGTTTGAAATGTAGTTTCTCTAGAAGGAAAACGCACTGGATAGATAATGCTACCAGGAGAAAACTGTATTAGTCAAAAACTGGCTTCTGAAGTTACCAGTTTTGGCAATGTTACTGTTCAGTTCTCATTCATCACAGTTACTGGCTGTGTGGTATTAGTATAGAAGCCTGGCAAAGTATTGGTTGGAGGAAATTGGGAAGTGCAGAAGGAGTCTCCTTTGTCCTAGGCCTTGTGCCTGGCACCTAAGCAGCCTCTGGCTGGCACTGGTCACCACTGCAATGGTGACTCTACAGGTACTGAAGGTAACGTTGGCAACGTCACTAAGGTTTTGAGTATTGCATGGGGTATGGCCGGGATGGAGTTGAATTTTCTCCTAGCAATCCATATGGAGCTGTATATATGCATCTGTGGCTGCAACAGTGTTGATAACATAAAGGTATTTTAGCTGTTGCTCAGGAGTGTTTGCATAGTGTCTCCCTTGTGGCCCCCTAGCAAGCAGGGAAAGGGACACAACTTCCCAACAAATTGGGAAAGGACAGAACCTCAATAGCTGACCCAAAATGACCAAAGGGGGTAGATAGCATCATGCACAACAAATCAGCCCTGAGGGGGATAGGTTTTTCTGATTAGGTAACAATTCCTGGGCGTTAGTCTACTTGTGGGAGGTATTTTGTGACTGCTTTTTTATCAGTTGTTTTGGTTGTTTGGTATTGTTTGGTGTTGTTCCCTTTTCATTGCTTATTAAATTCCCTCCATCTTGACCCACAAGTTGTATTGCTTTTGATCGTCCTGTTCTCTGTCCCATCCTCCTGTGGTGGGGATTATCCCACCACAAATATGTTTCCACTGTAGTTTTACTTCTGACTGATTTTCACAAATTTTCATCACGTGTTTCAATACCAAGTTTTTCTCTCATTATTTTGATTTGGGAACTTTGTTTAGATTGTTTATTTAAAATAGATTCAGCTGTATGGGACAGTGAAGGAAAATATTTCTGTTCAAAAAACCATCTCAGATTCATACATTTGAAAAACAAAAATTTGTAATTTCTTGAATATGTAGGACTAAACTCTACAACTTCCTGAAGGGAGATTGTGATAAGGAGGGATTTGGCCTCTTCTCCCAGGCAACAAACAGGACCCGAGGAAATGGCCGCAAGTTGTACCAGACGAGGTTTAGATTGGTCATAAGGAAAAACTTTTTCTCTCAGAGTGTGGTCACGCACTGGAATGGCTGCCCAGGGAGGTGGTGGAGTTGCCATTCTTGGCAGTGTTCAAGAGGCATCTGGATGAGGAGCTACGAGATATGGTTTAGTGGCTTGTGGTAGCAATAGTGATGGGAGGGCGGTTGGACTAGATGATCTTGGATTTCCTTTCCAACCTTGTGATTCTATGATTCTATGACTAGAAAGCTAGAATTTGGCAGAAATAAGATCTCTCTGTAGTTGAGCAGTAGAATCTTTTAGAAATTTTTGAGGAAAAATTAGTGTTGATTTGTCGTAAGATTTAGCGGTGTAAGTTTGTTTATTTATATTTGTAAATATTTATATGTGTTAATATAAATATGTACATCTGTGCACAGATCATGTTTTTAATTGTTTCTCAGTAATAACACTGGATCCCACAACTGGGCTACATCACAATGAACATGCTGCTATTTCCAGCTCTTTTCTTATTTCCTGTTTTGAGGAAAATGAGAGCCATAACCAATGCTATTTGTTACCTCACATCTTAATAATAACCTTTTTATCTCTTCAGGTGGTGGGATTTTCAAACCTGGCTTTAATGGATTCTTCTTCCAGCCTTACAAGAAGCAGTGAGAGTTACATTGCACCATGGAGCCGCATTTTAAGATTCGGTGTGTCTGCTGCGCTGTGGTTAGCCATTGCCTTCCTGCAGGTATGTTAGGCTCATAAAGGATGATCAGGTTCTTGTGCTTGGATCAGGTTCTTGGAAAGTAAAATATATCCCTACTCCATCCTAGTGATAATAACACTGCTTACTATAGCATTGGGTATCACAGAATCATAGAATGGCCCGAGTTGAAAAGGACCACAATGATCATCTGGTTTCAACCCCCTGCTGTGTGCAGGGTTGCCAACCACCAGACCCGGCTGCCCAGAGCCACATCCAGCCTGGCCTTGAATGCCTCCAGGGATGGGGCATCCACAACCTCCTTGGGCAACCTGTTCCAGTGGGTCACCACCCTCTGTGTGAAAAAACTTCCTCTGTGTGAAGAACTTCCTCCTAATATCTAACCTAAACCTCCCCTGTCTCAGTTTAAAACCATTCCCCCTTGTCCTATCACTATCCACCCTTGTAAACAGCCATTCCCCCTGTTTATATGCTCCCTTCAAATATTGGAAGTATTAGAGTTTGGGTTTTTTTTTGATCTGGACTTTCAGCTTGTTGAGTGTGGTACAAGATTAGAATAAAAAATGAACCTGCCTAACTGTGAGAGATCTTTCTTTGTTGCAATTTTAATTCCGTCAAAGGTAAGAATTTACTCAGTTCCTTTTTTTTGTTGTAAGCAAATTTAGAGCATCTACCAAGAATGAAATGAAAAGCAAGTTATTGCTACATCCTTACTTTGTAAAGGAAGGATGTCAATCCTATTTCAAAGAGCTTGATGAAATGGTAACCACTGCAGAAGTCTGTAATTTGTGGATGCTGAACTTTGAAGTTAATTGCTTCACAATTCAGAAAATAAAGTAAAATCTGCTGGAATAATAAAATAAAATATGGTTGATTTATTTCAGATTATATTTTTTGCTGTGTTTTATGAAAGATTTGTTGAAGATAAGTTAAGCCGATTTGTCGATTTGTGTTGTGTGAGCAACGTAAGTATTTCTTTGTCTCATTTGTGCAGGGACATTTTCACTAGAATAACATGTGAGATTGTACAAGAACATTAAGTAATATTTATTCATGCAATTTGTTCAGAGATCACAACCAAAGGAGGTGATTTTTTCCTCAATTTACTGGTGTAACCAACAACATGATTTTACCCAAGTTTTAATTTGAAAACGATTCTGGAATCATTCATATCAGTATGTACTTCTAGACATGATTTTTACATTGTTATTTGAAATATATCAATCATAATGCTCTGACAGAATTCAAAAGTAGAAAATGGTGACAGAAATTTGACATGGAGTAATTTTTTGTTATTTTTTTCTACTGGTTTTGCATTTTAGTACTTTTTTCTTCAAGACACAACCGTATTGGTTTTTTTTATGTTTATGTTCCATTTCCATTCTTATCTTCTGGTTCTTCCTCAAGTGTTGATGACTGTCCTGCCTGAAATAGCTGTCATCTTTCTCAAATACATTTATGTATGTCTGAACTACTTCCAGTAGTTTAAATATGAGTCTTGAAGTATTACAAGAAGACTAAGTGAGAACACATGAAATTCAGTCATTTGGCCAAAAATTTATAAAAATACAGGTACTGACTTGTTTTGTCAGCCTTGTTTTTTCCTTTCCCATGAAAATAGTATGTAGTGCATGGGTCACATAGAGAGTTAATTTTGTGATACATAAGCATTATTTCATACTGTCTGTTGTATATAGTCTCCTAGAAACTCAAGTGAAATCATTCATATGTGTGATGTATCTCAGAATCAGATTGAAGGTCAATTGAGAGCTTTGTTCTCAATTTTTCATTTTTTCGTTCCGTGGAATTAAATTTTTCAAGTTCTTGACTCTGTGATCCTTGCCATACATAAACTGAACTTGAAGTTGTTCTGCTTCCCTACTTAAGTATAGATGAATAAGTAAAGATGCTACTAAATGTTTTCCTGCCATACATATTTTGATACGTACCTACTTTGCATTCTAAATCTGCTGATTTACACTGTGGAAAAAATGGTCATATCTCATGAAAGTATTCTTCTCTTCCTGCACTTCCTTTAGATTTCAGTGTTCCTCTTGTCACACAGCTGCTTTGGTTATTACATCCATGGCCGCTCAGTGCATGGACATGCAGACACCAATATGGAGGAAATGAATATGAACCTAAAGAGAGAAGCAGTAAGTAGAAGTAGGGAAGTTTTACACCTATTCTAATTATTTTCTTTAATTAATTAATAAATATATGTATATTTTGAAAGCTTTCAGTTACAGATCTAGTCTTCTGTGTTACATTGCACTGAGTTAAGGTACTTAAAAGATACCAGCTGTTAATCTACAAATAAATGATTTGACATTTTTTTTTAACTAGCTCTTCACCTTTCTTCTTTGCTTTCTCTTTTCTTTCTGTTCTTCAGATTTCTTACATATAAAATTCCTGTTTTTCTAACAAGGTTATTTTTTACCATGCATTTATACACCATCTTTTTTTATATTGAAAAAAAATATATATATATATAAAAAGGATCAGCTACTCTTCTAATAAGTTATTTTGTTCCATCTCTTCCTCTTCTGATGACATCAGGTACCCTTTACAGACATTCATTTTAATAAACTTATTTTTTCAAGTTTCTCCTTAGTTGTATCTTTGCAGCAAGTGTAAAATATCAAATATGACTGGAGCACAATGCACAAAATTCCGTGACATCTTGCATCGTTGTATGGATAAGTAGAAAGAAAGTACCTTTGGTGAAGGATGTCTGTTTTAAAGCTAACTGACAAGAAAAAAATCTAAACGTGAAATGAACATTCAAATATGGAAATATAGAGGAATCCTTTAAATATTATTTTTGTGTCTCCCTGTGTGGTTTTTTTTTCTAATTGCTTTTGTTAGCATAATACTGGGAGAAGCAAGGATTTTTTTCCCAATGTAATTAATGAATTTTCAGTGTGCTTGCGTTTTCTGAGATCTATGAAGTATGACCTGAGAAAGGTATGGAGAAGTCAGGAGTCCAAGGCATAAGAAAAATAGAGAATAAATGATAAATGCAAAACAAAAGGCTTCAGAATGAACCTTAAAAGATGTTGTAGAAGGTAATGAATAGAACACGGGTAAAAAGATGAATATGTCTTTGTGACAGCAGGGGTCAGGATTTCATGTCCTAAAAAAAATCTTGCTGTAATAGCATTGAGAGTGCAGTGAGTTTAAAGATCTAGAGATATCAAGTTCTGTATGTACATATCAGGATATCAAGAAAAACTTCTGTATGGAAAGGGTTGTTAAGCACTGGAATAGGCTCCCCAGGGAGGTGGTTGAGTCACCATCCCTGAATGTGTTTTAAAACTCTTTGGATGTGGAGCTCAGGGACCTGATTTAGAGGAGGGTTGTTAGAGTTAGGGTAGTATGGTCAGGTTGTGGTTGGACTCAATGAACTTTAAGGTCTTTTCCAACTTGAGCTGTTCTATGATTCTACATAAAAGAGAATAAATGAAAAGCCGTTTACCTCTTTTTTTTTTTTTTTTTTTTTTTTTGTTATATATGGCATGAATAATGTTAACTTAGTTATTTTAATTTGTAGGAAAACCTATGTAGTCAGAGAGGTTTGCTACCAAACACAGATGGCCAGACATTTCAGATTTCCATTTCAAGAAAAATGAGACTGCAGTATGACAGGATTCATGAAACCCTGACAAGAGTAAGTGAGACATTTTTATTCTGTTAATGTTATTTAAAATATGTATTTCTTCCACTAAAGCCATGGCCATGTTGTATTTCAGAGACGTGGTCCTGCTAGGTTTTTGGACTCATCTGCAAATACTTTTGAACAGAGCACAAGGGCATACAACACCATGAACAAATTCCTCAGTTCTTTTATTGATCACGTATGTATTCTGATATTAATATATTAAATAAAATTACAATAGACTAAAAATTGTAAATCTGCATGCCTGTAGTTTCTGTTTAAGCATATGTCCATAAGGACTTGCTGTTCAAGATTTCATGGGAACTGAAACAGTGCTTCATTCAAATGAAAAACTGGAGTACTGTGCAACAATGCAGCTCACTCTTCAAAAAGACAAATCCTTTCTTGTTATGTGGTTTTTTTTATCTTGGAATGGACCAACCCCTTCTTCATTCATAGGGGTCTAAGTGGCTGTACTCCACTTTGGAAAAAATACATTTCCTTTGAGATCGTAAAACAAAAATTGCACCTTTGCTTTTCTTACAGGTTCATAAAGAAATGGATTATATTGTCAAAGATAAATTGCTGCTTGAGCGGATTCTAGGCATGGAGTTCATGGAACCAATCGACAAAAGTATTTTCTACAATGGTAAAAGGATGTGTGACTTGGGATTTGTACTTTTATAAGCATGCATGTTTCAGTGTAGATTTACTTCCAGGATTTCCAACCTCAACTGGGCTTTACAGCAAGAGAGGTCTTAAAATGATTGTGAGAGAAGTAGCTAAGAGGTGTTCTCTAGGTTAGAGAAATCCTACTTACTATTTGTCACTTAATTGCAATGTGGTTCTTTTTCCTGTAGGCATCTTGAAAGGATACAGTGTAGAGATGTGTGGCTTTTTATGAAGTGTTGCCTTGATATCCACTTTTCAAATGGAAAGGAGATCCACAGTATTAAATAGTTCAGCACAATGCTTTTGTAGAGAACTAAATTTCCTGTGAAAAAACTAAAAGAGCAGAAAGACGATTTCTCTAAAGAGGATATTGATCACAGTGAGGATGTTTTAGTGAAATAATTGATTATATTATACCACACATTTTTGGAGACTACTAAACTTAGTTCAGATCTTTATTCTATCCCTAACCATAAATATGGACATCACTTCAGTGAAAACTAAGTATTGATGAGCAACCAATGATGGAGCCTCATTTTGAGCCCCTTAGATACTTGACTCTCCAGTCTCACTGTTCAGAAACTTCAAACCTTATCAGAACCATAATCCAATCCATTGATATTAATAAAATGATCATTACACTTTCTAAATATGCCATCCTTATATAATACCCCAGGTTAGAGTGGAGTAGAACTTTTTCTGCTGTCTCCGACACCAAGGCTGCAGAATTGAACCTCTCATTTGAATCACAAATCTTGCTATATAATCAGGAATATAGCACATACTTTCTAACCAGATAGGAGCCATGGCTGTAGCCTGATGGTTTTGCTCTAGATGTCTGAGCTGCACCTAATTCATCAAAGGACTGGGCTTTCCTTCCCTGTTACATGGAAGCACTATCTTTAATAATGAATGTTACAAGATAACCAGTATTAACTCTCAGCAGCCTTTGGCTGCCAGTCCCGACCCTACAGTTGTTCCAAAACCCTATTCTAGTCCTCAGGTCTACTCAGCTATCAGTCCTGTCACGTATATCATGTTTGAGTTAAATGCAGAAGCACAATGAGATGTCTCTAAACCATGCAGTGTTCAGCTTTTAGTCTTTTGACTGCCATTGTTTCAAAGATCGTGTAAGCACTGAAATGAATATTTTCCTTGATGGGTTACACTGCAGCAGTTTCCAGAACTTTAGATACAAATCAGGATTTCATAAAAGCAGAACATAAGTGATGTTTAATGAAAGTTTTATTGGCAGCACCATATTTTCATTACACATTTTAATAAGAAAGCAGAAAGAGAGAGAGAAGCATTTTCTGTACTTGCTAAATGTTCTCTTTTGAGAGGCACTGCTTATAAAACAAAGGGGTGGATAAGTAATCTAATCTGGCTACAGAAATTGTTGTTTTCAGCTTAAAAGACCCATTTCTGGGGAAATCAATTGCTAAGTGACCGAAGATAATGTTAAATTCTGAAGCTCCTTTTAGGTAAGGTTTAAGCACGTTTCATTATTTTGACCTGGGGCCAGAGTTAGCACCTGCTAAAAATCTCAGTGACAAGGAAGTTTTGTCTGTTTCATATTCAAAGCAGCCTTTGAATATAGAACCATTGAATGGCCTGAGTTGAAAATGACCATCTGGTTTCAACCCCCCTGTTATGTGCAGGGTCACCAACCACCAGACCAGGCTGCCCAGAGCCACATCCAGCCTGGCCTTGAATGCCTCCAGGGATGGGGCATCCACAGCCTCCTTGGGCAACCTGTTCCAGTACGTCACCACCCTCTGTGTGAAAAACTTCCTCCTAATATCTAACCTAAGCCTCCCCTGTGTCAGTTTAAGACCATTCCCCCTTGTCCTATCACTGTCCACTCATAAACAGCCACTCTCTCTCCTGTTTATACGCTCTCTTCAAGAGAGGCCACAATGAGGTGTCCCCAGAGCCTTCTCTTCTCCAAGCTAAACAATCCCAATTCCCTCAACCTTTCCTCATAGGAGAGGTGCTCCAGCCCTCTGATCATCATTTTTTAAGTGATTATGTGATTTTATTGAGATTTCTGGACCAAAAAATAAAAATCTTTCAAAAACCATTGTTTTCCTGTAGATGAAGGACACTCTTTCAGTGAAGTTCTGTATTACGGCAACGAGACGACACTGCTCATCTTTGATATTCTGTTTTTCTCTGTTGTGGATCTGGCCACCCAAAGTTTTGTTTTAGCGGCTATTCTAACATATTTGCAACAGGAGGTAAACTTCTTCTATTTAAATAATATCGGGTAGTATGAGAGCTTAAATAGTTTGATAATGAAACCCTGGATGTAGTATGTGGTGTTAAATAGTCCAAGTATATTCATGTGCATGTCATAAACAAAGAGAATGTTGGAAATGGAAATGGAAAACACACACACAAAAAAAGCAGTTAAAATTAATTTTAATTAATTTAATCATATTTCAAGATGGAAAGGTACTGGAAAAGTTTCAAAATCACTAAAGGCAATTAAACACCTCATCCACTCCTTTAAGATTTAAATACAGTACAGAGTTACTCTGCGCTAGATATTGAAGCATGCTGGTTTCATTGCTTGTTCTTTAACATATTGCTTTTGTTGTTAGATTTTTAGGTTCATTCGTAATACAGTTGGACAGAAGAATTTGACATCTAAAACTTTGGTGGATGAAAGATTTCTCATTTAATTAAGAAGACTGCAGACCTCGAGCGCTTAATGGAGGAGATTGTCTCCAGGACCAAAGCATCTCAGACCTACGGATTAACTGCAGTTCACTTTTCAGTAATAATGGGATGGTTTTGAAATGCATCATTTTGATATTGTCTGGTATTCATTCTTATTTTTGGTATATTTACAGATGCTTTTGAAGTTGTGAACACTAAACTGTAGGCCTTTAAAAGAAAAGGTACATGGGAATAAGACAAGAATAAACATAATCTTGTTATTATTGGAGTAAGATTTAAAAAAGTTAATGGCTTTTCCTAAGACATGGAGAGCTGACTGAGGCAGTAATTTGAGCATTGTGGTTGGCAGTTTGGTTGTCAACTCAGGTTTTCTGAAAATCCCTTATCTTTTCTTTCCTCCCGTCTCTTTCCTCCCGTCTCTCTTTCCTCCTTTCTTCTAATTTGTTTTGAGACATAACGTTTAGCAACCGTACTTCAGTTTTGTTCAGTCCAGAATTTGTTCTGAGTTGAATTAATATTTCAAGAGGACTATTTAAAATCACTTACTCACTGGGTTTCCTACTTGAATTTTTAACTTTTCTTCATTGTGTCACAGTAGTGTGTGATTTTGTCTGTTCTCTTCAAGTTTAGCTGTTATTGTTTTTCTTGGGTGTAGACTATATGTGTCAAAGTTTCCTTGTGTTTGAGATACAGTAGCATTACAGTGATGCAGAACAGCGGTCTAATCATAATTGCAGAGATGTTTATAAGTACTTTGGATTCAGTCCTGATCTTCTCTCACCTGATGTGAGATGCCCAGGGAAACAGAGCAGTAATTCTATGCAGTTGCCACACAAGTGAAAAAGAAGCATTATTCCTACCTTTTTGAAGCATGTTCACAAGTGCCTACATATGATCATATACTTCTGGCTGTCTAATTTTTGGGCTTTGATATCATTTTACTTTCATCTTTATTTTGGAATTAGAGAAGATAATTATTATTCAAGTGCCATTTAGTGAGTTTAAGGGAGATCATGAATGGCCTTTGAAACACCTTGAAGTGCTGTGTCTACCTCCTATTTGTATCTCTGAGAAGTTTCCATACTTTTGTAAAGTTCACTGGTTTTTATAACTGTTACTTATCTTTGAATAACGATGAGGGACTTTCACCAGCAGAAACACTAGAAAAATGTAAACCAAGGATAATGTGTTTGCTCCAGTCACAGATGAAGGATGTGTTTGGTTGCACCCTGCAGGGCTGGAATGCAGACACACTTATCTGAGCTGAAGCAGCACTGTACTGTTTTTCAGTTGTTTCTTGGCTTCGTGAAGAGGAAGGAGGTGTTGTGTTGATACCACATCATATCTCAATTTTAAACTTTTAGTGATACAGACTTAAATCTCAGGGTCACAGTTGCTCTAATGCATTTGTTTAATAACTACATCTAAATACAGTTTCCAGATCTTGCAGGTTGTACTGAAATGGTGATGTTCCAGAGGGTTGATGTGACTGAAAGACGTAGAAAGTGCCTGTGGTGTGTAGGTGTGTAGACTACAACTGATCCTGATGGAGGTCTTCCTGTTGCTTTCCAGCAATGTAACTGTGCATCACTGTCAGTGATAACAGCAGCTTTTTCTCTGTGTAGATTCTTTTGATGTGTTCGTAATCACAAAGTTATTTCAGGGAATGGAACCACACTTCAAACATATGTCCTCCAGAATGTTCTGATTTATGACTGACATCAGTCAGAATAAGTGAAGTGTAGGAATCAGACCCTGGTAAACTAGGGAGTGTCTGCAAACAAACTGTGATTGTGCCATCTGTAGCCCTGTAACTCTAATTTAGTTAGTCTGCTAACAGCACAAGGGAAGGTACAGCATCGTGTCAGTTCTCACTCAATACCCAATTCTCAGTGCTTTTGCTCAGGTGGTTCCTTTCTATGCAGAAATTGTGCTTTCACTTTTCTTTAGATATGCCTTTAACTACCCACTGCTCAGAAGGGCATGTGAAAGCTTTAATGGCCTTGCAGTTTGAAGGACCTACTGCTAAAGGCAACTCTTGTTACAGATAAGTAATAAATTAATGTGAACTTGTCATAACAGTTCAGTCACTTGCCCTCTTTTTTCTCCTCAATGCATACACTACTGTGTGTTTTATCTTTCCAGGCCATTTATCTAAGATGTTAGTGTAACTAACATTGCTGCTGTATGTGATCTAGGAAATAATTACAAGAGACGAAAGCTCCAGGAATTCACAGCAGCTTTTCTTCATTCTTGCTGTGTAGTGAGCACTTGAACTGGGTTGGCTGCCCTATGATCTCCTATGGGTTCAAGAAATAGCTCATCATTTTGTTTTCTACTTTTTTAAATTAGTATGCAGCTGCAGGATGTCATTTATGTAATGAATGTTCTTGAATGTTTTTTAACTTTATGAATGTTTTAATTAAACAGTATCTAAAACAGAGCAATAAAGGAATTTCCAAGGACTGTACCCAAGCCTATGACACTCTATTCCATCCATAACCACGAGGGCTTTCAGAACAGGGCAGGGGCTTCTGCTGGCTCTGCAGTGCAAGTGACTGTCTGAGGAGAAGTGTAGGAAAGCGATATTGTGGGCTGTGTGGCAGCAGAGGGACCTGGGTTTGGGTAACCGCAGCTGATGGAATGAGTGAGCTGCTTACCGGGGGGGTGTCTGTTGGGCTAGCTGCCAAAATAGTGAACTCCATAAATAATTACAGTTCACGAATACAGACATCATCATGAACAGTTGCAGTAATTTCAATATCATTAAAATTCATTTCCTAGTGAGGACACGATTGATTTTTATTTTACTACGGCATTCATTTCAGTGTGGTTGTATCTTTGCCTTTTATGCCCACTGAGGTAAATCATCCAAGAGGTGAAAAGTACAACTGGCACAGAGCTCAACGTCTCACCCTGTCTGTCCGGTTGCTGCAACACAGGCAGAGCGGCAATGCCATCAAAGTATTTCTGCATGTTTGTTTGTGAAGTATGACTAACAGGTGACTTAGGGAGGGTGACATTGCAATCTACTCCTAAGAAAATCCTGAGTAAGCTGGGATGGTGGAAGAAGTTAATCAGCAAACCCCTCGGAAGCAGTCTCCTTCAACAACACCGGCTTCCTCCTACATCTCTGCTTTTCTCTAGCCCAGGTCAGGGCCCATTCATCATTTAAAAGCACTTCTCCCCTGTCCTGTACCTCAAACCAATGCCTCCACATGTGATCTTGCTGCAGCTTCATACTTCACCCCCACATCATCAATAGACACACGTGGATCCTGCCCAGCCCTTCATGTCATGTCAGGCAGTATGGCTGGGCTGGGCAGTTACTGCCTGTCCGTGCTTCTGGGTGAGTGAGGAAGATGCTATCTGGCTGGCCAGAAGGCTGTGGGGAAAAGGTCTTTGTAAGGGAATTTTAGCAGGTTGTACAGCAATGAGTTACATACCAAAGTGTGTTTTACATGTTGTTCTACAGGGGGAAGAATGAAAATCCAAACATAGCATCAGAAATCAGTTTAGTAGCGTGAGGTCATGACTTCCTCAGATGTACAAAGGGAAAAGAATGAAACTAAGACACCTCCAAGCAAACTGCATTAGAAAGAAGCAGTTTGGCTTCCTCCAGCTTTGCCCCCCTTTGCTGCCTGTGTGCCATCTCCACCCCAGCCCTCATCTTCCTCACAAGGCTCTGACACCACCCAGCACGCAAAAGATGAGGCCATTGCTGGCTTGGAAAAGCCACCAGACTGTTGGCCAGCTACTTGCCACCAAAAGAAAGCAAGATGCCTTGTCCTCAGCAAAGGCATTGTCTTAGTTTCAGCTGGGACAGAACTGTTTCCTTCAGAGTGTCTGGAATGATGCTGTGTTTTGATTCTAGGAGGAAAACAATGTTGATAACACACCAATGTAGTTGCTGCTATGCAATGTTGTACAGAGCCAAGGCCATTCTCAGCGAAGGGCCCAAGGAGCTGGGAGGGAACAGAATGAGGACAGCTGACTTAAACTGGACAAAGGGATATTCCATACCATGTAACATCATGTAGAAGGAGTTTTGAAGGGGATAGGAGTTCATCTCTCTCCTGTTGCTCATGGGGCAAGCTGGGCAATGGTCAGGGGTGGTGAGCAATTGCTTGTGCATCACTTGTTATATACATTCATATACATTATATATATATATAGTCATAACTTTTATCCTTTTCCTTTTCTTTATCTTAGTAAACAGTTTTATCTCAACCCACAAGTTCTTTTTTTTTTCTGATTCTCTCCCCATTCCACTGGGAAGGGGGAGAGTGAGTGAACAACTGTATGGTGCTCAGCCACCTGCCAGATTAAACCACAAGTATTAATAATTAATTTAAATTAATTATTTTTTTAATACAGCCTCTCCTGCACCAGCTGCTGCTATTTATGCCCGAGGACCTTGGCTCTTTGATAAAAGTTGGCAGCTTACTCAGGAAAGCAGCAGCTTGGCCCTATTTCTGCAGGGAGCCACATGGAAAACAGTGCCTCTCGTGGCTCACTGCTGTTGCCCCAGTTTTGAGCTCTGCATCAGGGTGGCAGAAAGCCATGGAGTGAAACTGTTGGTTGTTTTTTCACTGGAAATAGCAAAGGAAAAGCTGGTGAGCTCACGAAGGATGGAAGGAACCAAAACGGAAAAAGCCAACAACCTGTAATGTCATCTTCTCTGTGACCTTCTCACCCTGCTTCTCAACCAATAGGAAACAAACCCCTTCTAATCACTCACAGTGTAAGTCACCAGTTCTTCCTGCAAACACTGAATGAAGATGTTGGCTTTAGGCTCTGTCTGATCCCTGGGGCAAGAAGAGCTGTGCCTCTTTCTAGCCCTGGCAAACAGCTTTGCTGCCTCCCAGAGCCTGACCTCACCCCTTCCTGTTGCTGTCCCCTGGAGTGGAAATGCTCACCAGACCCTCGTGAGGTTCACCATTGGAAAGGCCAAAGCTGCCCTACATGCAGTTGTTATCTTCACAAACACTGGAAAACATCACAGCATGGATAGATGTATGACACAATGTGCAGGAACTATTTTCCATGAGGAGATTGCTCTGCAGAGGTGAACTGTGGCACAAAATACCCAAGCCTGGTGCAGAACTCACTGAAGTTCCCCCAACAGCATCCCTAACACGGAGAATCAGGGCAGTATCCCTCTCCATACAGATGCAGACAAAACCTGATAAATTTCTCTATGTACATATGGTTACAGCTCTCTCTCCCCCCCAACAAAAAAAAAAAAAAAAAGGAAGAATATGGCTGAATG